CTGCATGCATCTTCGGCGATTGCCTCTCCAGGCTGACATCGGTGAGTCGAGTCATATATCGGTTTAAAGTTAATTAGATTGATCTACAGGTACTGTTTGTTTGAAACATCGCAGCAGGCAGAGGCAGAAGTGCAGCTCCAGTTCCCATCCTCGTGCTTCGGCTTCAGTCATGGTGCCCCATAGGGTTCTGAGAGGGCACATAGTGGTACGTGCCATTGAGACGAGAACGACAGAATGCTCCGATCCCTGTCCTCGCTGGCCCTGGACCTGGACCTGGTTATTACTGTCTGTCGCTTGTCAACGTCAATGTCACCGTAACTTCAATTAGACTCGGCTCACGGATCAAGTCCCCGCGTCTCCGTTTCCCTGCAACCTCGCCTTCGCCATGGTGTCCATATACGTTGTGAATGTGAAATGGCATGGGTCAGAGACGACTTCTAACTCGCTTAGCCAGATGCCTCGGCCTATACTTACTTAATGGGGGCATGTATTTCTGCCTGGGAATCTCCATGAGCTATCAGGTCTCCGTTCGAAATTCGCCCAAGTTGCAAAAGTGCTTCCGAACTTTGTCTCAATACACGAGAACGGAAACTGTACAAACTGGTAGAAGTCATGAGAACCAGTAAATTATTGGCTTTGCTGATCCTAATATTCATCAAAGAAAATACTCGCTCTTACCATGGGTCAAGACGAGCCAACTTCAAGGCACGATACGGTGTGTCTTGTGGCGAGGTCATGTTCTAGTGATCTTTTGTAGAATCAATACTTTTTCACATTATATGGCTTGAGCAATAATATCTGTATCCCCTTGTAAGGACATAGACAGCAAGAATGATGATTATTGCTTGTCTTTATTGAACTCTGAACATCTCGTCATACTGCATAATTACACGTAGACTGTCTTTGACCATTTCCAACTTCCATTTTATTTCTCAACAAGCTCATCCTGGCATGGAAACACAGTGGTTGAGCAGATCCTCCCTGGCTCAACAGTCTCAAGATTAATCACGATGTAAACAGTGCGAAACCCAAGATCAGAAAGGAAAATGAACCCGCGCGAAGACCTAGTGTCAGCAAAAGAGCAGGCTCGCCTCAGTGGGAGAAGGAAGAAAAGTTCTTGCCGCTGGCTTATGATGCTCCGTTACAGTGCCGAACCTCACGCCAGTTTTAAAGGGAAAAATTGCTCTCAAGACTATGCATGTCTAATGCACCTCTCACTCATAGTACCAATGTTGTTGATCACGTTCCTAGGCGCCTTCCAAGGGAGGCACGTATGAGTAGTTAAAGTCAAGTAGACCGTCCAACATCCAGTGCTGGGGGTCGAAGAAGTCGTAGTTGGCCGCATCTCCGTAACTGACACCAGCCATCATACTATGAGCTGACGATACAGCTGAGAGTCCTGTGGCCCCCGGTGTCAGGGCGCCGTTCGAGTTGGGGTTGCTGTTGTGAGTGTTGTTGGTGCTGAGCAGACTCGAAGGCGGGAGGGTGTGAGACGGTACGAGAGTGCTGTCCATGTGTGTTGATGATGCTGAAGACTCATTAGCCGAATCTGGATTTGTCGGTTGTTTGGCAGCTGTTGTCTGTATTAGCATTCTTGCAATATTTGCACAAGACAAATCAAGACATGCTCTACTCAGGGACCTTCACCAAAACATAGGGAGAGAGGGGATCACCTACAGTCTATAGTACCTCGCCCCGATGCCTGGAAGTCCTCCCTCCACCTCCAGACTGAATCGAATACAAGGCTCATGCTGTGACGACATCGAACCTTGAGCTGGAGGCTGTCGTCCATCTGGATCGGCGAGTTGTCGTTATTGTTGAAGTTATGTTGATTGTGTTCGAGTCGAGCGCCGTTCCACATCTGCACCATGAGTTCAGCCAAACGCCACTGAAGATCATTGTGAACAACACTGGTAGCCCGGATAGCGCGGATCGTCTGATGAAAGAGCGTCCGACCTCGCTGGAAGTCTATAGTCTTCGAAAAGAACGACCTCATGAGCTTGAGAAGGGCAAAGCCGGCTGCAACCATCATCTGTCCGATGTAGTTACTGCAGTGAAGAAGTAAGTGTCCGCCGACGCCGTCCCGGGGACTAGTGGCTTGATCAACTTCGAGGATTTCGTCGAGAAAAGCGACAGTGGCGCGCCATAGGCCCATCAGATCATCCATATAGCCTGGGGTCTTACTGGAATCGAAGAAACCGGCCAAGCGCATGTGAAGAGCCGCTGCTCGGAGATGCAAAGAGACAATGGGGCCCAGCCCTTGTGAAAGGATGGAAGCATTCAACTCTGCGTAATCTCGACGATAGACACGCATCAGCATTGCCCGGTGTTCATCTCCTGCAACGCCACGGGGATCGCTAGCGTTGCTGTACATCTCCTTCGATACCTTGTCACAGAATCTCTCAATCTGTAGCCGCGCCTCTAAATCTCGTGATAGTTGGAAAGCACTCTCTTCTCCGGCTCGTGAGGCCAGAGTCCAGTCATAAAGAGTTGATGCTGGCTGGCCGTAGCCAGTTCCAACAGACTGCGCAACAATGTTACAAACAGCCCACGTTGTCACACGGTCATTGAGTTGTTCCTTGTTCAACTCAACCGACACCCTAGAAAAGTCTTGGATATTATTGGGCCGGTGCAGACCTATTCCAGTAGCTGTTTTCATCATTACTCCACACAAAATGTGCGTAGGGTCGGACGAAGTCGTACTTGTGGGTAGTGGCCATGTGCACAGCAGACACATGGCCTTAACCACGTAGTAGTTGCTCGGGACTTCTCCTATCGTTGACCACAAGAAACGTGTCAGAGGTCCCGAGAGATTGTTGAGCAGATCGCTTGTGCTTGGTGGATTGTATCGTCGGGCAGCAACAGAGATGATGGACCAGAAGAGGAGGGGATGCTGTTGGTAGAAGAGATCAGGTGCCTGTGAAGGGTTGAGGAAGGGTAGAAATTGATGGTAGAAAGCCCAGAACTGTCGGAAGAGGTTGTTGACATCTTCTTCCGTTAGCTTGACGTTTTCTAGTTCGTGTGAATATCGTGGCACGTTGTAGTTCCCGCCGCGCTTGAGATGAAGCAGGGACGAGACAGCTTCGTCAGAACCCATTAAAGAAGGATTTCGGGTGTGAGTGTGAGTATAGGTAGGATTACTCGCAGCAATGGGAGAGTCCATATCGTCATCTGCTTCTGGAGTGAAGCCCTGAGACTTTGCGTGAGCAAGACTGCGACGCAGTCGATCGATTTCCTTCTCCATTTCGGCGTGCTTAGATCTTTTGCCTACTCTCTTGAAGTTTGATTCAATTTTGCACTCTAGTTTCAGGCGATTGCACCGAGAGCAACTTTGGAAAGGGTCTTGCACCACGTCGCATCGGAGCTATTGGAAAATTCTGTTCAGTACAATGGTATCTAGACGGTCTGTTCTCGGAGGTTGACTCACCTTTTGCTGTCGACACTCGTTGCAGGCCCTTTTGACGCCAGGCTGGCGCTTCTTCTCCTGCTCAGCATCGTGATCGTCAAGATTACTGCCTGGGCTACTTTCAATGCCAACCATGCTGCTCCTCTTGCGCTTGTTGGTGCCATTGCTGTTCCCATGGCCATGGCCGTGGCGGGAGCTGACAGGGCTCGTAGGACTCATCGAGGCCGCCCCACCAGCCATCATGGAACCGTCCATAGGGACGATGCCCTGAGCCGGAGGCCCGGAGGAGGAACGCGACGGGATGATGCGAGGCTGCACCGCCGCCGAGACGGACACGGACACGGGCAATCAAAGAATCGGAGGCTTCGAAAAGCAAATACCCGGAGTTCGTTGACCGGCCGGTGCCGGTGTCGGTGTTGAGAGCTGATATGGATATTTCGGGTCGCGGCGCTGAGTGGGCGCGTCGTGTGTTGGCAAAGACAATGCGCGTGAGCAAAGGCCGACTACGGAGGAGAGGGGTTTGTTTGTTAGGGAGAAGATTGCTTTTCGCTGGTTTCAAGGTGCGAAAAAAGGCGACTCGAATGTGAGTGGCTAATTGGCCTGGCCAATTACCAGCTTTTTTCACCGTCTTTCCGTGAAAAGAGTAATTCGCTTGACAATCTTAACTGGGAAGGTGCAGCAAGGTACAGAAACGGTACTCTTTCACCGTTGTTGCCTCATGCAACGACTTTTGAGCGACCTGACAAACTGGAGACGAGCGGGGCAGGCCTAGAAAATTATCCCTACGGCGGGCATTGAAGTCTCTGATTGGCGGGTCATCAACACTCACGTGATGTATGCATCATTCAGCCGAGGCCTATGATCATTGATGATATGGGGCCCAACTCAAAAGATATGGCAATTGGATATACTCAAATGAGGTCCTGAAAGAAGAACATGCTGCGCGAAGACTTGGAACTCGGGTAATTTCGTAAAAAATGTTTGGGTGGCGATACAAGACTTTTGACGCTGAGTACTACCTATGTAATGTGATCATCTCGTATTTATGAGTTCCACCATCTCATCACATGACGTTGACAAGAGTGTAACCAAAAGAAAGAAGAGACAAGAGGGAACTACTGGTGATGACCTTCTCATATTATAGAGACACTATTTTATTCGTTCTGGTGGTGTTATCTACAAGTCGAGAAGAGAAAAGTGTGACGATGTGCTGAGCAGTATATCTGAACCAGCCCTTTCATTATCGAAACCTCAACTTCTCTTCTAGGGATGAAACCACTGCAAACTATCATCTCTAACTGTAATAGTAATTTGAAATCACATAATGGTGATAATACCTTAGACTACTCCGTCCATCAAGTCGCAAATGCTATTTGTCCTTCCAATGAAGGGCATGAGCTGCTAAGCCAATCAGGCTCAACCACTACACAACGACTGCTCTGAGCGCATTCTGCTAAAAAACATATCTCCCTCCCTGCCTTACTTGCGTCAGATAATCAATCACCTTTGCTTTTTGCATCAAAACCACTTATCTTTTTCTTCACACATTTTTCTTCATCAACAACCATAATCACCCTTGCTTAAACACTTCATCATGTCTGAACCTGACAAGCCTCGTCAGTCGGTCAAGCGTCAGCTCAAACCCGCTCCCCAACGCCCTGGTCAAGATGTGCATTGTCCACGATTCAAAGCAGAGGTCCACTTTGTGATTCCAGGATCCATGCCAGAAATCGGTGGGTTGATCAAGGGAATAGTGTTAGTTGTTGATGAGACACGGTTCTGACGCTCTGTGTGTGTAGAGACTCTTCGCATTCGAACAACGGATGTTTCTCAGCCTTTCCTGGACCCAAATTCAATGCAACAGTCGTGATGCGTTTTACTACATACCTACTGGGCATGCGTTATTCAAACTTGGCTGATACATAACTGATACCCTCTTACAAATCTGAAAGCGCAGTCTACCTTTCCAGGCTCGACCCTGCATTTCTGTTTCGGGCCGCCCAAGTCATGGACCCTGGCCTGATGTACATCAAAAGAAGCGACATTTTAAAGGCGAGGCGGGAAATATCCGTTAGTGATCGGCTCTTCTTGTTCCTTTCCGAAACCTTCCACAGTCCTTATAAGTGAACATCGTTCAAATATTCCAAATTATCGGGAATGTCAATGCAATTCGAGTCACTTCCCACGCTAGACAAGCCTCGGACATGGCTACTTGATCTATCTAGGCCATGCTACTTGTCAAATGGCGATCTCCAGTCCAAACCCGGTGAAAGTGCCGAACAACACCACAATTCAGGATCCCCCTCTTATTCCGCGGGTCGCCCACACTCAATATGCGGGGCTGTGTGCTAGTGTCTAGGGGATCCTACTCCTCCTTCTGTGCGTCTCTTACCTCTTTCTTCCAAGTGGAGGAGCCGATCCGCATCACTAAGCTATCCCACATGCACTGCTATATGCCAAGGATGCATAGTAGACTACAATGAATCTAGCAAGTTACGTTCTTTTCATGGGCTTTCTCTCGTCGAAACCGCCTATATAAACCGTCATCCTGCCCGACTGTCGCCCCATCCAGCTTGACTACAATATCACCTACTCTCTAATCTGAAACTTGATACCCTCCCTGTCTTCATCATGGCGACCAAGCTTCATACTGTGCCTTTCCTCATCAACGGCAGCGATCACACCAGTGAAAGGGCTGTTGATGTCGTGTCTCCCGCCAGCGGCGAGGTCGTCCACCGCTACCACAGTGCTGACGTCAAGGATGCCAATGCTGCTGTCGAGGCTGCTGCTGAGGCTTTCAAGTCATGGCGCAAGACAAGGCCTAGTGAGCGCCGGGATCTCTTTCTCAAGGCCGCCGAGATTATGGAAAAGCGACGTGATGAGCTCCGCAAGTACTCCATGTCAGAGACTGGTAGCGATGCTACCTGGGCCGATTTCGATATTAGCACAGGCATTAGCCATCTGAAGGAAGTTGCCGGTCGTATAGGAACACTGGAGGGCGCCATTCCCACTGTGTCGGATCCCAACACAACCGCTCTCGTCTTGAGAGAACCTTATGGTGTCGTTGTAGCAATTGCGCCATGGTTCGTTTCTCGTGCCCGGATGGGTCTCAGGAGTTACTAACATGTCAATCCAGGAACGCCCCTTATATTCTCGGCACAAGATCTGTTGTTTTCCCCATGGCCGCTGGTAACACAGTGGTCTTCAAGGCCAGTGAGATTTCTCCTCGAACACTCTGGGCTATTGCCGATGTGTTCAGAGAGGCAGGACTCCCTGATGGTGTCCTTAACGTCATCTTCCACGAGAGAGCCAATGCTGCAGCAGTCACCGCCGCATTGATTGAGCACCCTGAAGTCAAGAAGATCAACTTCACCGGCAGCACACCTGTTGGCCGTATCATCGGTAAGCTTGCAGGCGAGAACCTCAAACCTGTTATTCTGGAGTTGGGTGGCAAGGCCCCAGCTATCGTGTGGGAGGATGCGGACCTCGACCTCGCCGCGCTGCAATGCACCCTTGGAGCGTTCATGAACTCGGGGCAAGTCTGCATGTCTACCGAAAGGATCCTTGTGCACAAGAATGTCAAGGACGAGTTTGAGAAGAAGCTGTCGGCAACCATCGAACAAGTCTTCTCCTCTAAGGCGGACGCACCGATTCTTGTGGCATCGGCTCCTGTTGAAAAGAACAAGGCCTTGATCAAGGATGCCATTTCTAAGGGAGCCTCCCTGGTTCACGGAAACCCTGATGTCGAAGAGTCAAGCAAGACCCGTATGAGACCAATTGTTGTGAGAGATGTCACCACAGAAATGGACATTTATAAGTCGGAGTCCTTTGGCCCTACGGTTTCTCTGATGGCTATTGAGACGGAGGAGGAAGCCATCAAGATCGCCAACGATACCGAGTACGGCTTGAGCTCTGCTGTATTCACGTCTGACCTCCAGAGAGGTCTCCGAATTGCTCGCGAGATCGAGACAGGTGCTGTTCATATCAACAATATGAGCATTCACGATGAGAGCGGTCTGCCTCATGGAGGAGCCAAGGCTAGTGGATATGGCCGTTTTGGTGCATCTGCTGGTCTTGATGAGTGGACTCGCACGAAGAACATTACCTTTAGGAATTGAATGACGGGATGATTATAATACCAAATAGCGCAATATGAAAGAATTGTTTATATCAATTGTAATTGGTGTGGTAGTCAAATAGTGAGGGTCAATTCAGTGAATGCCATGAGTGATAGCCGATCGAGGCTCCAACCAACAAGAAGACGTTGCTGCCACAGTATTTGTGTATTTTCTCTCATTCTATAAGCATAATACAATCTAATTATAACATCCGCATGAGAACAATGCAACTATAAGTCTTATAACACCCTGAGTCCATGCACAAATTGGTTCATGATGCCTTGGTGCAGGGTAGCTGGAACATGTATCCTTACATAATCGGCCAATCCGCGATAAGTGGAAAATTTCCCATTATCCAGTTCAAGGTCCCAAAACACCGTCATAACATAGCCTTTAACCATCACAGCATCTTAATTATACCGAACCGACCAACCACCTCCTTCAACACCGCCAAAATGAGTTTCCTCGGAATGGGTCGACCTCAGCCTACCTCGGAGCAAAAGATTGCCGCCGTTGAGAGCGAGATGCGCATGATGGCCGACACCTACAACCGGTAAGCCTCAGCGCTCACCAAGCACACGCATTGATACTAAATTGTGATGCCACAGTCTTCAGCAGTCTTGCCAGAAGAAGTGCGTTCCCAACGACTACCGCGAGGGTGAGCTCAACAAGGGCGAGTCCGTCTGCCTCGACCGCTGCACAGCCAAGTTCCTCGACACATCTATGAAGGTCAGCGAAATCATGCAGCAGCAGGGCCAGGCTCTCGGAGGCGGCCAGCAGGGCGGTGGTGGCATGTTCTAAGCGTGATGAGCGAAACGCGAACATTTTACGACCTCAACAGACCATTTAGAGGACGGGCCCCAGATAGGCTGTGGTTATGAATTGAAGCTGTGTACGATTACTCGGGAGAATTGATAGATATTGGGTCTGAATCGATATCTGGCGCTTGCATCACGAAATGATGACCGACGGTGCAACGGGAGGTGTTGCTGTATTATATATGCCTGTACATGAACGAATCCAGGTCAGGCCAGAGATGACGCTTTGGTATATGGATAACTAGATTAAGTTTATTCAGTATGACCCTAAAAAATGCCTTGTACCCAGGGGTGTGCTATGCTATGTTTGATATGATATCGATATCCCAAAACTCCGTGCTGATGACCATTTAGGGGAATATCATCCCCAAGAAAACGCTCTTTACCCAACATCAACCCCTGGATCAAGACGGCGACCTTGTAATATCTGGACCTGTCCCGATCCCTGTGACAGTTCTGAACATCCAGTGAAGCCACCCTTCGGTCTCAAGCTCGGCCTTCAAAGCCTCAGCTCTCTTCTCCATATCCTCCACCTGCCTCTCAAAAGTAACAATGCCATCTTCGACATCGACCACTTTTTGTAATAGAGCATTGATTTCATAGTCGAGACGAGCTACAAGCGCCTCAACCTCCTTAAGGCCCTCCAAGAGGTGAGACCGCTCCTCGGCAAGGAGCTCATGAGAAGTTATACGTATACGCTGGCATGCCTCGTTCAGCTGGTAGTAGAGTGCATGCATTTCGTCCTTGTCTTTTGCGTAGCGTTCATCGAGAGCCTCGACTGCACTGAGCTTTTCCGTGACCCATGGCTCAATACGGTGCTTCATTTCCTCCAAGCACTGGTTAAAATGCTGAGCTAGGTCGTTGAAGGCTTCGATATTGGCAAGACCATCCGCTACATCTGACACGTCGATGAGGGGTTCCCACTGCAATACTGCCTCTTCAGCATCGCCAAATGACATTCGTCGTGGCCAACGATTTTCGTTGAGAACGGTCATGTGTGGGCACTGTGATAACTGAATACTGTGTCGTCGCGAGAGCCCCCTTTTGGATAGATCATCATTGAGTTCTGCATCCAGAACAGGCCCTTGGAGGTCATGCTCATCAACAAGAGATCCAACAGCGGAGGGTGCCTTGGACAACACATCCCTGCGCACTTCCACCCCAATATCAAATAACTCCCCGTCTTGCTCGCGCTTTTGTGTTTCCACGGGAGCCGAGGCTGGCTGTTTAATGTCAACTGTCGAGGTGGACGCAAAGTGCGAAAGCTGTGGGAAACCTGCTCCCCCTTCCGCGTCTGCTCGTTTCATCGCGGCTAGATACTCCTGCGGTTTGTTGTTCCATGTGAAGGCTCTGCCCACTCCTTGTGTGGGCGCTGGTGGTTGTGTTGTTCCTAGAGTGAGCCCCTGACTTGAACTTCTGGGGCCCGATTCTAAAAAGTCATCTCTCGTTGAAACCGAAGGTCGACTGGTGTGACCACGTAAGCCTCCCCCAACGACATCCTTGATACGTCCAAAACCAGACCTAGCGTCGTTCATTTTCCCAGCGACACCTTTGAAGATGTTCTTCCGCGAAGCCTCCTTATCACCTGATCCATCAGCGACACTAACGGCGGAACCAGGTGGGTGGCCCGAGTAAACATCAGGAGTCTCATCCAGTCGCTTCGCATCCAGTTCGTTCTCAGCAGGCGCTGAATATACGCGTTTCGGGTTTGGATTCGCTTCTTCCTCTTTCCAAGGTACCGCGCTGCTCAACTCTGGACTGTGATGTGGTAGCTCAGCGACGCTCCTCCGAGGCTTGCCATGCCAGAGCCATTTGGCCCGTTCGCCATATGCTAAGCTAGCAAAAGTGCCAATGTCGAGTGTCTCGATATCAGCCAGTCCTCCTTTGTCTTTTCCTGACACCATTCCCATTACAAGCTCACCCCTCTTACCTCCGACTTCTGTCAGTGTTGACTTCACAGCCCTCTGTACACCCCAACTTTCTCCAGCAGCAGCCTTGGCAGACACAGTGTAGAGCTTGAGAAGAGTTTGACGGTCCAGCCTTCGCGTCTTCTCGAGCTTTTGTGATTTTTGGAAGTGACCAATACCACGCTTAGTGTTTTCGAGGTCAAATACATCCTTTGACACCGGGGCTCCGTACCAATGGAGACGATTTCGAGCACCCATGAACATGCCCAGTAATGCCGCCACCGTACTGGGGCCTAATATGCCATCGGTAGGCTCAAAATTATAGTGTTCAGCACCAATTTCGATCCACCAGTTGTTGATAGCCATTTCTGTCTTGTCGCAAAGCAGCCCATCGATGTATTGGTGCCCCAGCTTGTCAAACATGTATAATGTGACTTGACAAAGCTTGATGAGTTCGACTACAGCTTGCGGAACAGGTACTCGATCGCTCGTCCTGTAGAGCTGCAAGAACTTGAGCTGCGTTGCTTCAGTTGGATCTGACAGAGTCATGCCTGATCGCCCAGAACATCCTAATCGTTTCAAATCCTCATTGACAATGAACGAGGAGCGATATTTTCGGATATCACCCTCAGGGACCATAATAACGGTGAGGGCCGAAGGGAAATTACTCAGATTAGTAACCATAAGCTCTCCAAGCTCAGTTTCCTTGGGCCGCGCATGTGAATCCTGGAGTTGATCAAAGTAGAAGCGTAGCCTTGGAGGCCAAAGACTCTCGTCTATTGGAACAGAGAGCACACCGACAACGACCGAGTGTTTTTCGTCTCCGGTATAAGTGACGATCAGGAGTGTTGGTGGTTTTCGACAACACGCCCATTGTTCGACTAGGTACGACTCGTATCCGCGTAAAATGCCACGGCGCTCGACAACGACAACATTGCTGCCTTCCTCGAGATACCTGATGCTGTGTTAGCCTTGGAAGCTTCAGGAGTGTTTGTTCGCGACGCACCGAAAGGCGAAAGGATCGGCAAAGACAAGATTTTTGCGCCTCGGCGAGGGTAGAGGTTGAGAATCCGCAGCTTCATTGTATGCGGAAACCTCTAACGGAGGAATACCGTTGGGGGGACTTTCTCGCGTGGTGCTAGAGTTGGAGGTGGTCGCTGTACGGGCGACAGACCCCTTGGCGGTGGTGCCTGTCGAGAGTTCATCGTCGACTCGAAGTCGAGGATCTGGAAATCTGAAAGCCATGGTGTCGTCATTGGCCCGTGTATTTGATAGACGCAGTCTCGAGCTTCATCCTCACCCGTGGTGAGCGAGGAGTAGCAAGAGGACGTCTCTAGTAGTTTCGTTTAGGCGCGCGTGTCTTTGGAGGCCTTTTTTCGGTGTTGAACAGGTCTGAGAGGCAACTAACATTACAGGGCCTTCATGTGATGCAATAGCTCCCAGGTTAGCTCTCGGTACCTGCTTCAAGTACCTACCTATCGCAGACGCAGCCGAAGACTTTACAAGCTAAATGCGGGGCACTAATTCCCTGAAGCCCCACGTGAATCCCTGGGGGAAGACTGGGGTTACTCGACACTTTCGTCGTCACTTGCTATATGAGGAGGATGATTCAATATGTGGTACGGAGTAGTTGCTGTGGAAAGTCGAAGAGGAGACAACAGCTGCATATGTAAATTGTAATTAATAAAGGGAAGCTGTTGTCAAAGCGTAAAGTAGCCAAAATCTACTCTCGTTTAATTGGCCATCATTAAGCGGGAGAGCGAGGCCGATCCCCTTTAGCAGCAAAGCCTCGGTATCCTCCTTATCGATAAGCGATAATGTACCCGCCTCCCTCTTATCTACTTACCTCAGGTACCTGAGCTCGGATCGTTCCGTCACCGTTGAATCCGCAAACGACATCAACATTCAACACAACCGGCATTTTGACGTCCACCCGTGGAATATCCTAGCTATTGGATGAGCCCATGACTCTCTTTGGCTTTGGAAGCTTCACTTCGCGTTAAACATAACTCTCGGTCTTGATCATACCTTCTACATCTGATTCAAAACCCCACATAGTCCCCAGCCATGGCGGAAGTTGATAACGATTATGTCTCGCCCTTTGCACCACTCATGGTTGAGCTGGCTCGTATGAGGAACAGAACACTCAAAACCGTGGTCGATGATGTAGATAAAGTCATTGACCTTCTTACTAATGCTCGTGAGAAGATTGCTCAAGGTGAGCTGGCTTTCCTCCGATACCATCAACAACTAACCACTGTAATAGAGCAAGACGCCACTCGAACCGGCATGGCCATGATGACGTTGCAAAATCCAGTCAAAGCCCGCTTCGAACGAATCAACGTAGACCTAAAGGATATCACCAAAGCGCAGAAGTCCTTTGGAAAGGCCCTCGACAAGGTTTGTCTATAACCTCTAGCTTTTGACGGCAACGATATCTGACTGACCGACACAGGCTCTTCCTCACCGAGAACTCCCTATGGAGACTGATGCTATGGCGGACCACCCGCGACTCATCAACCGTGCGATAGCCATGCATCTTCTTCGTGAAGGTCAATTTTCTGTCGCCTCGACATTTCTCAAAGAAGCTACAGACCACCCTCCCGGCCGCGAAGCCCATACCATTTCACAAACAGACGAGGATGGAGATGATGATATGGAAAGCGAGGATGAATTAGAAGATGAAATGGCAGGTCTACATTCAGAGCATTTACAAAACAAGTTTGCGGAAATGTATAGCATCCTTTCGCAGCTCAAGGACCATAATCTCCTACCCGCCATCAACTGGGCCCACGCAAATGGCGTCCATCTCGAGGCCAGGGGAAGCACACTCGAATTTGAGCTTATAAAGCTTCAATATGTCTGGCTGTTCAAAGGCCCATCTGTCAACGGTCTCCCTGACGAACCTGCGACTAATGGACTCGGCGGAGCGATTAACTATGCTCGCCAGAACTTCCCTCGTTTCCAGAACCGTCATCTGCTAGAGATACAACAACTCTCCAGCGCTGTGGTATTCGCCCCTAACCTGGCAAAATCGCCCTACAGCCATATATTCGAGACAGATTCAGCGTTCGAGGACGTAGCCATGTCGTTTACTCGCGAATTCTGCTCACTGCTTGGCCTATCGGCGGAATCACCTCTCTATATCGCCGTTACAGCAGGCTCCATCGCTCTTCCACGGCTGATCAAATACACAACTTATATGCGTGAGAAAAAGACAGAATGGACGACAGAGAACGAACTTGCCTTCGCAACACCCTTGCCCGAGTTTATGGTTTATCATCCCATCTTTGTCTGCCCCGTCAGTAAAGAGCAGACGACTCAAGACAATCCTCCCATGATGCTCAGTTGCGGTCACGTTCTTTGCCGCGAGTCTCTGAACAACATAGTGAAAGCAGCACGGTACAAGTGTCCCTACTGCCCGACAGAAGGTCACCTTAAGGATGCCATTCAGATCAGACTATAACATATTCTCCCTGCTAGCATTATTACATGCATGGTCATGTTACGTATCAGAGCGCACTGCCACATTGGGCAAGATGGACTGGCGTTTATTTGTCTTGAACGAGTCCAGCAAGGACTCTGCTTCGGCTTTGGTTCAAAATCAAGAATGGAAAGCGGGCGTTTTGGCATTTTGTTTTAGAATTGTACCTGTTGGGATATTTCCTTTGCCTCTTAGACCGAAACGTCGATCTTTTCTCCAGCATAAGCCATGAAACATGCAACGTCCTAGCTACACTCTTGTCTCGCATCATGCTTCACAGAGTTGAAACCAGTGAGTGTATTGAGTCAGAGTCCTGATGGTTTCATGACGTGATTCACATATGGACAGTCTCATAGACCACACAAGCACGGGCCATTTTGTATATGCCTGATTTCACTATTCAATTCCTGTCGGATTATCTCATCATGAGAACCCGCAATCCAATTGATCAGGGGACAAAGTAAAAGTAACAAAAGAACTATGTATCAGCTCCTGGATCTCATTCCATGTGGTGGAGCATTGAACGCCTAATATGGTTGGGTCTAACATAGGAAACAAAAAAACAACCAAAGTAAATAGAATAAAAAAGTCCAAGCAAGTTTCCGACACCATGGGATATCACTTCGTCGCCTTCTGTTCACGCCGCACCCATTTGGTCACCGTCCATCCTGAGCCTGCCCTTTGTGACTGGTGCCATAGAAAAGGGAAAATTTTTGTATCCTTTCGTAAATTCGTGTCTTTGTACAATGATGCCTCCAGAATATTGTTTTGAAGAATCATGACTTGCGAGGGGCCGCTTAATCAATGGTCATTCGGCTGGGAATTTGAGGCTTGACATCCTGCATGTTGATTGAGTTGATATCAGGCTTCTCCTCGACCTTGCGCTTTCGAGACAAGGACTGCAGATGGGGCTTCAGGCCCTTGCCAAAGTTTCGCATGCACACGATGGCGTTGGTAATGGTGAGAAGGATGAGAAGAATGGTGATGACAGCAAATGCGGTCAATGATCGACGAACGGCTTCGTAACTATCTCGGTGTCCAGGCTGATAGATTCGTACAAGCTTGAAGATGAAATAGCTGAGACCTCCGAGATAGAGGATGATGATGCAGACCATGCCGATCTTATTCTCTCGTCGAGTGAAGAAAGCGGCGGCGAGAAGGATGAGGATGGTAATGGGGATGGTGACGATGGTTAGGGCGAATTCAGGGTCATCCTTGTCAGCAACAACGACAACGAATTGAACGATGAAGCCGAGGAAGAAGAAGAAATCGAACTTGAGCAGAGCGATGTAAATCTGGTCCGAGTTAGGCATTGACCAAGGAGTCTGGGTGAAAGAGTGCAGCATACCTGGTAGTGAAGGAATCGCTTCTTCATGCGATAATCGGCACCAATGTTCTTGAGAATATCCCACGCATACTCCTGGTAAATCTTCCACGAGAGGAAGCCCATAACGAGAGTAGCAAGGGCGATGATGGCAGGAATAGCCACCAGATAAGGCTTCACATCGTGCCAAAGCTCGGCAGCAGTCATGCCACGCTTGAGAGCATTGTTCTGCTCGAGAATATCAAAGGCCTCGGAAATTTGATCAACTTGGATAGTCGTGTAAACCATAAGGGCCAGGTTAGAGAAGCAGACACCAATGACTTGAATGGTGTTCTTTTGTCGGAGAGCATCCCAGACGACGACCAGGGTGTAAAGGAAACCAAAGATGAAAAGCGTCAAGAAAGTCGGGATAGTCTTGTACTGAGATTGAACCTGGGGAGCGCTGATATGGGTGCCAAGGTTGACCTGGAACTTGCCGAACACATAGCTAGATAAGGGGTCAGCAAGAGGCACAGATGCCCAAAGATACGGAGATGACGTACGCCTCAAAGCAAATGCACAGAATGGCCTGGAGAAGAGAGACGGCCATGAAAGAGGCAGGCCATCTGCTCTTCATGAAATCGATCTTGCCATTCTTCATACTCTGCGCGGGAAGCGAAGGGGTGAGGCCTTCTCTATAGGCGAAGCCCTGGTTGTATGCGGGTTCAACCCCGGCGTCGGCAAAGTTGGGCTGGGCGAAGGCGGCAGGCTGAGGAATAGGCTGTGGAGACGGGACTGGAGAAGGAGCGTAACTGTTGTCTCCGTAGGAGTTGTTGTATGAATGGCCTCCGTATCCGAAGCCGGTGTCAGCTCCTAGGAGCGATTTGCGAGATTCTAGCCGGGTAGCCACGGTGGACATGGAATGACTCCGACCGGGAGTCACGGGGAAATAGTCGAAGTGATGAAAACACTCGTCGATATCGCTCGACGGACGATGATGAAAAGTTGCTGTTGTTGATTGAAGAAAATTCGACTGCGACAGACAGTAAAGACGCGGTGGTTCGGTTGGGGCGGTCGTGTCTATATTAAGGCACAGGGTGCTTTGCTCACGCGGATGGCCACGGGTACCGAGGTGAGCAAGTGCACTACAGTACAGTACAGAACAGTAGTCGAATACAGTTATACGAAAATTGGACAAAAAAAGGAGTCGCGCGACGAGAAAAAGCGGAAGAGAAGCGAGAGACGGAGTCGCGATTACGAGGGATTTGTTGTCGAGTTAATTGGTGGCTGAAAACGGCCTGACCAGGGAAATAATGGATATTGTTGTTGTTGAGAAGAGAGAAATGAGATGAAAGGAAAAAGAAGAAGAGCCCAAGCGTTTGTAGTAAGAGGATGTCAGCTTAGTTTAGTCAAGAGAGAGGCAGAACAGATGGGAGTGAGTTCCTTGACCTCCATAAGATTGGGTCGCTGAAACAGCCCAAGCAGGGGGGGTGGGAAGAGAGGGCGGGCTAACTTAAAGAGCACCTAACCGTGGACGGGCAGAGAAAGCCTGGGGCGGGCGAACCCAGCCCAAGGTACAGTACTCCGTAAGGTAGGTAACCTGGAAGGTCAGCTAAATGGAAGTCCGCCAAGCCCAGGGTGGCAGGGCACAGGACTCCAGGGGTTCAGGCGTTCTTTTTTCGCCTAGGTACTCTTTTCTGGGGTGCCCAGCCCGTAGCGATAACTGATGGAACCCCACTGGCAGTGAGGTGGAGCGCCCTGACCTGGGCTTTTCGTCGCTACCAGATCCTGAATTGGAGGTGGGTTCCTTGATTTCTGGAGACATGATTTGGCCACAGTGGACGGGTTTGCTGCAACTAGCATGTCTCAGACTACCTAATGTTGCTACTGTTTACGTCGGATGAGGCAGTCTTGTCTTGTCTTGTCTTGTATAGTCTTGCGATAATTATACTATCATGAATTCCGATTTCAGTATGCCATGACGCATACGGCCAAGAGCGACGTGCTTGATGAACATCTCATGCAGTCCCTCGTGTTACTGTCTGGTCCGTACATACGAACTGATCTTTACTGCACATTTGACGGACGGGTGGGGTCTAAAATGAGTTGGATGGAACCGTAAAGACGGGACGCAGCATCCCGCCTCCAACGGCGGATTGCCTTAGCTTTCCACTAACGTTGTGCCTGTGGATGAACTCAATCAGCCTTGGGAGGGATCCCACAACACACACTTGCAGAACTGCCGGAGTCAACAAAGGCAGTGCTGGCCAGTCACTGGATGGTGTCTCTGGATTTGATTAATATGCCGGCCTCAGAATAAAAGATCACATCATCGCACTCCTCCTTGCCAGGCATCGATCGGTATGACATAACTAATACTTTGCTGGGCTATGTTGATGAGGGAACGGATGCAGATTGAGATGGAGGACTGCGGCAGTGCAGTTATGCATGCATAGGTAGTCCCTACTGTTAGCGCACATCCCAGCCATCCACTGAAATGACACATAAACTCACAAGCTAGCGTAACAATTAATACTCTGTCTGCACCATGCAATGGAAATGTCCGTCGGACTCAGCCCATTCGTATAGCCACCTCCCTCACCTTTCTGAAGGTCTCTCTCTGCCATCCATCTTGATTTAAGGTTACGGACCCTCTGAACTGGGATAACGTGATAAAATGAGGCCGCTCCCTTTTATGCATGCATCCATTGTTGCAAATGAATTAATCAGTTTCTGTATAAAACAAACAAATAAAAGAAACAGTAATTAAATGGCGGGTGATCATCCAGACTAGTGTATCTGATCATGAATCCATCCGATTCACCACTAACCGTATTTTCCTGCTTTTTAGCTATCTATCAAATTCCCTGCCATTCCACGATATGCAGCCATCATCAATCAAGATTCAGCCACTGTCAAACCATCAATTCCTTCATTCCCTACCTAATTAGCCAGCACAAATTCATTGATCTCAGTGAACTCGTGCTTCACTATGTACATCGCTATAATTATCACCTCAGTCATGATCGCTGACCATATGGCAAAAAGCCAAGGATATCTCGTGTTCCTGGCAAAACACCCTGCAGTGGTAATCTCTACCGATCCACAGAGGACAGTTCCATAAATAAACCTGCAGTCGGTCCACTGAATAAATATAGTACGTGCATCCATCCAATCCCGTCCTTTTTGGTGCAATCAGAGAGTCGCTACAGAGGCATGTCAGCGGAGGAAAACCCACTTCCATGTTAATTGAAGCGTCGTCATCACCGAAGTATAGACAGATAGACAGATGTACACTTCTCACACATAGTAATAATAGATCACATATGCAATCCTCTTGTATTGGCCCCTCCACACTTCCTATATGCCAAACCTCTTCAATGGTGTGAACTCAAGTTCCAATTCAGCATTAGTTACGGAGTAGTAGCTAGAGGGGTCTGTCTGGTAGGGCTGGCAGAGCCTCCAGCTAAACTAAACTCTGTCCCCAGCCGTTGAGGCCCGCAAACGACCTAGAATCGAGGCTGTGCCGCCGTTGGAATGATATGCATTCTATTCAATCAATTGAATTTGGGCATCGTTAATCTTCAACGGCGGGAAACCTTGTCCGTTCGCCTGCGTAAATATTGATCATGTATAATCCACCAGTCGCGATATCGTCAGGGTCTGAGGCTACTCCACGCCACTCCATGGCATGAACTGATAGTAGAACTACAATATTACCCTTTAACCAAGATTTAAAAATATAAATTAGTTGAGTTATCTTAGATCGAATACTCTTCCTTCCAAAATGCTCACATTGTCCCCAGTGTCTATACTGGTTATGTGCACCAATTCTTTTTACTAAAAACATTAGAATATTATCTATCCGTACACCGGGAGATATACATGTATTAACTCGCTTAAAGGAAGTCAAGATCCCATGAACCCCATCCATATCCTAGTACCGCCTCTTCATTAACTCCCCCAATACTTGAATCTGCTCCATTCAACCATAGTGAATTGGTCGACGACTGTTGCGTGGCTCCGATCTGCCCCATTCTTTCAACCTCTTGAGACTCTTGTGCATACTCGATTGACTGGAAGCATGTCGCTTTACCCAGGAACTGGTGTAGCAGCCCTGTAAAACTAGCGATGCACTGCTTGACGAGCTCTTCTATAGTCTCGCCATAGTACGCAGTGGCCATACCCCCTTGTCCTGTCAACACGCCGGCAAACTGCTGCATGATGCGAGCTGCTTCTTGTGCCACTGTCCATCCCTCTGGAAACGCTTCGAGAAGCGTGATCAGTAGCACGACTTCTTCCCGGGCCGATGATGATGCTCCATCAGCCCTATACGATGCTACGAAATCATGCATCAACAACAGACATACTGGCAATAACCGACTCAGGGATACTCTGTTTAATGGTAGTTGCCGTTGTTGAAGGAGCGCTGAGTTGGCTTGGAGTTGCTTCTGAGCAAACTCAAGCTGTTCCTGACGAGTAACTGCTGCTGCAGAGCTGTTGAAGTGGTTCGGAAAGTAGAGAAGAATTAACAAGTGGTAATACTGAGCACTCAGCCAGGTGATGCTGCTGTGGATAGGCAGATTATCTGCTTCCATGGGCGACATGAGGCACCCATTGCTGTACCAGTCCTCGATTTCAGACCTCAAACTATTCAGTACCGTACGCCTATCTGCGGGAGCTAGGCGTGCAGTTTCAGAGTTTTGTTGCAGGTGTACCGCGTGAAGAATTCGATATTCGAGTTGCCGGAGCTGGATGACGTGCCGACTAGTCTGCAGGTTCCGAGCATACACAGCTCGGTCCGGACTGGCAAACTCTTCCACCGTCAGTCCCGGGAGCGGCACATTAGCATGCTCATCTGTAAAAGCGGCTGGTAATCCTTGGGACGCCGACATCATACGGTCAAGGACGAAGATACTCCAGTAAAGTCGATGTCTGAGTTCGGTTTCCACGGCCGTACGTGGCTGCTCATCTGGTCTAGTCAGACCGATGACCATGGCTTGTCGTGCGGCAATACCGACGATGAAGTAGGCTGAGGTTGCTGCTGGATCAAACAAAGAGTATAACCCTAACAAGATGAGAATCTGTACAGACTCGATGGTTTCGTTCGAGAGACACTCTTGTATGATGTCTGGGTATACCACATCGAACCGATGTGCCGTATCACTGGGGATCTGCCCAGCCCGTACCAGCGACGTGCATCCAATGGCCATGACGAGATACAATAGAGTCATGGGGGGATCCTGGTCAGCTGGAGACGCATCGCCCAGAAGTTCAAGATCTCGCCGTATTCGAGTTTGATCGACGAATGGATATGCCCTGTTGACGTGACGAAAGAAGGCATCGACAAAGCGACTGGGGGCAATGTCAGGAGGGAGGGCTTGTCTTGCAATCAATCTTCGTTTTGTGACTGATCCGTCTGTTGACTCTCCATAAGATAAACGACTGCTTGTGGTTCGCACACTACCAGGATCCCTTTCCTCTAGGCGCATGTCAACACTCTGTCTCCCAGTTGAGGGGTGGTCTTGTCCACGCATAGAGGGAAGAGAGCCTATGGTCTCCAAAGGAGAAGCCATCTGACCTGGCACTCGCGATAGAGGCGATGATACTGTCCCCGAAGCTGCGATATTACCAATACCGCTCCGTGGCCCATGGCCTAGTGCAATACCCAGGTCGGATCCTGTCTCGATACCTTCTATCACATCTTGTCGACCTGGCGCAAGGATGGCCTGTTCAATGTATTGGCTCAGCCATTGTACTCGAGAGCGCAGCTGATGGACTTGCGCCTCAGCATTGGCAACAGGGTTAGTATAGGAACACCTCTGGCCAGCGCTGGCACAGAGAGAGCAGACAGGAAATGTGCGACTGCACTTCTTCTTGAAGCTGCGACACCTATCACAGGCCGGGGCTATGGGTCTCCCAGTCGCGCTCCGGCCCGCGACGACAGTTTGAGATTGCTTTTGCTGATCCTGCCGCCGAGCCTGCGCCTCTCCCTGGGGCGCATCCTGCTGCTGCAGCCGCTGGTCAGGAGATACCGGTGGTGAAGCGGACCGGGCCCGACCGACGTCCCTCGGGGATGGAGACACCCTGCGGAGGCGGAAACGGTGGATCGAAGCCTTCATATCAGATGCAGATGCCATTTTGGGCAATTGGCGTCGTCAAGAGTAGCGAGTGGCATGGCAATAAATGGAGACGAGAGCGTTATCAATATACGATTGATATCGCGACTGTACAAGAATGTATGCAGAGGTTTTGAGATTGCACGTCATTTACAAACGGAGAAGCATCGAAAAGGAAAACATTCAATCACCTCATTCGCTGATAAGATGAGTCTTCAGAGCAGCAGATAAAGATACGCCATCGTGCCTATTGTTGAAGGATGTTGATGGAGGTGGACCAAATTGCGTGCTTGCACGAGGTTGAGGTGCTATTCCTTCAATGGGCAGGGCCCTCACCTACGTACGTTAGTGAGAATTCGCGGAGCCGCAGGGGGAAAAAGTCTAATAGACCCTAATGAGTTATAGGCGTGAATACAGAGAATTCAAAAACTGTGATATGAGGGTATCGCGAATTCACATATTGAATCAAGTTGAATTGTCTCATTAGATAAGGTACTTAGACATGTCTCAACGGGTCAGACTGGCAGCGCCGGGTCCTCCGATGCCCGGAGTCGGGGTCGCGCGGAGGCCGACCGGGATTACCTAAAGAGGCAACCATACTCACAGAGACAATCATTCGACAGCGCCGAGCGGATGAGGCTATTGTGCGGGATCCATCGGCAGCGTCTTTTGTCATTAATCGAATGAGACGAGGAGCCGTTCATGAGAAGAGAACTGAGCTGCTGAGGGTATTTATATATTACCTTGCACATCCCACATCGTTATCAAATGCCTGCATCCCACTATTGCCAGAGCTGTTTTGTGTAATTACTCACATTGTTACATCACTGTGACTCGGGCGTACGTGTGTCTTATCGTTTCAGTAAAGTCATATCCAAGTCCAGTGTTCAAAACGACGACTTGGAGATAGAGAAAGAATGGCGTTGGCGGATAAACTAGACGTTCGTCGCATCGCCATCATCGGCGCTGGCCCAAGTGGCCTCGCAGCGGCCAGGTAATCACTGATACCACTTACACATACAGCCAAGTCACTGACTCTCACCCTAGATACCTTCTTGCAGAGAAAAGGTTCTCCAAAATCCGAGTCTTCGAGCAACGTGCCACACCAGGAGGTGTTTGGAACTATACACCTCTAGCCCGAGAACAAGGCTTTTCAGTCCCAAGAACCCAGCCTAGTTTCAGCCCAGATCAAGCCCTGTGGCCTAACGACAATGGCGACGTTGAGTTTATGTCACCAATCTACGACCTCCTCGAGACAAACATTCCCCATTCTCTCATGAGATACTCCGATAAGGAATTTCCCCAAGGCTCATCACTGTTTCCCCGACATAGCGTTGTGCTACAGTACCTGAAGGAATATGCCCAGGAAATCAATCCTCACATCTCATACCAGACACAGGTGTTGAATATTGAGAAACCTGGTCCAAGCCGTTCTCAGCCCTGGACGGTTGAGGTGCTTGATCTCAAAGCCAACAAGGTCATCAAAGACGAGTATGACGCTGTTGTAGTGGCGAGTGGCCACTATAATGATCCATTCATTCCCGATATTCCTGGCCTCGTCGACTTTGATAAGGCATACCCAGGGGCTATATCACATTCCAAGTTCTATCGACGCCCCAATGACTTCAAGGATAAGGTAAGGATGCTTGTTCGCCCTACAGAACGTTGACTAACAATCGACCAGAAAGTCATTGTTGTCGGAAACTCTGCCTCTGGAGTCGACGTGAGTGCACAACTGTCTACTGTTGCAAAGCAGCCCATCTTTGTTTCTGAAAAGGAGAAGCCCACCGTGATACCACCAGCCAAGGAGCCATGGGCCGCTGGCGTTCCCGAGATTGTCGAGTTTCTCCCTTCTCAACGTGGTGTTCGCTTCGCTAACGGCCAGATCGAGAACGACATTGATGCTGTCATATTCTGCACCGGTTTTCACTACTCGTACCCCTTCCTGAAGTCTCTTGACCCAACTGTAGTTGTACCTAGTGGAGGCCATGCAGCACATCTCTGGGAGCAGATTCTCTACACTGCGGATCCTACCTTATCATTTCTCAGTGTTCCACAGCGAATTGTTCCATTCCCTATTGCTGAAGCACAGAGTGCACTAATTGCTCGCATCTGGTCCGGGCGCTTGAACCCCCCTTCAGAAGCTGCTATGGAAGCATGGGTACAGGAGCAACACGAAGAGAAGGGAGAAGGCAAGGCAATCCATGTCATGGCGTTCCCAGAAGATGTCGACTACATCAACCGTTTGTACGAGCTGAGCAAAACCGCGACCAAGGCCCCTGAGCTCGGCCTTGAGAATGATGGCGAGGGCAAGAGACCGCCTTACTGGGGACTAGATAAGCGATGGGTGAGGGAGAGAGTACCAAAGATCAAGTTGGCGAGCAGAGCAGCGGGCGATAAGAGACATGAACTGAGGACATTGGAAGATCTCGGATTTGATTATGAGGAGTGGAAGAGGACGGTCGAAGAGGGGGAGAAGTTATTTTAGACTCGATCCCATGAATTCCTTGTGCGATTAACAATCGCTTGAATCAGCCCAAGCCAGCCTGGCCGAAGCCGTCGTGGAGATAGTCCTCGTTATGAATTCCTTGAATCATAGACTAATTACTTCAACGATACAGTTTGGGGCCCTTACAACACCAAGTGGTTCTTCACAATTACAATTTACGTATACTTTCGGTAGTACTTCTCGAAATAAATTCAGTAGCAGCAGTCTAATTACAAACGCTCGTATGTTTTATATCCAATAATAAGTGCTCATATACCGAAAAGCAGTGTCGTTTCATGACTGCGGGTATGTTGAAATATCCTTAATAACACAAGAACAACAAAAAAACGCCATTTTAGTTGTCCGTCGTCTTTTCGTTACCTGTCGTGACACCCTCTGCAGCATCAACCTCCTCCTTCTCATCATCGCGTTGCTTTAGTGATTTGAGACCTGTCTTGTGCTCCTTGTGTTCCTTACTGAGGTTGACTTGCTTGATCATCAGACTGATGATGAGCGACAGCCCTGCAAAGCATGCATAGACGATGTACATTGTTTGCAGACTCTTCCAGAAAGCTGTCTTGGCGACCCTGCCATCGTGGCCCGTCAAGGAGCCAACGAGCTCGACGCTGCCTGCTGCGTTGGAACCGGAGAGTCTATCTGCGAGTTCCGAACCGAGTTCTTCCTTCAGTTTAGGGTACTGGCTCTCCATCTTGTTGTTGAAAATGACACCTCCTACAACAACGGAGATTGATGTGCCCAACTGACGGATGAAGGAGAAGCATGAGGTTGCAGAACCAATGTCTCGAGGCTCAACATTTGTCTGGAGTGCAATCAGAGGAGCCTGGAAGTTAGGACCAATACCGATGCCGGCGATGATCTGGAAAATGATAATCTTGGCCCAGTTGGCGCGCGGTTCAAGATTGATAAACAGACCGAAGCCAATGACGGTAATGATCAAGCCCAAAACGATAACGAGCTTGTAGTTGCCTGTCTTCTTGATGTAGACTCCAGCACCAGCCGACACAAACGACAGGGAGAGCACATATGGGAGCAAATAAACACCAGAGAGCAACGAAGATGCGCCGAGGACTCCCTGGTAGTAGAGTGGAAGCCAGTAGCTGCCTGACATGAAGACGAATGCGTGAGTGAAACCAACTCCATAAGATGCAACACTGTTTTGTGTGTGAAAGAGGCGAATAGGGAGAACGGGAAACTTGGCGACTTTCCACTCGTATACGAGAAAGAGACCAACGACGAAGATGCCAAAGACGATGAGGCAAATTGTCGTAGCCGAGTCCCAGGGGAAAGAAACACCACCGAGCTCAAGTCCGAGCAACCACATAATGGTACCGCCAATGATGAGAATACTGCCAGGCCAGTCCAATGCCAATAGACCCTCCTTCACCGGTGTTCGTGGGTTGTGGAGCTTCAGGACGAAGACAAGGATAACGATGGCAACGGCTGAGATGGGGAGGTTGATGTAGAAACACCATCGCCAGGTGACCTGGCTAGTGAAAACACCACCGAGAATAGGGCCAACCGCAGATGCTAAAGCCCAGACCATACCCAAAATGCCAAAGTACATTCCACGGTTTCGCATAGAGAAAAGGTCGCTGATGGCGATATTCGGCAGGACGATGAGACCACCTCCACCAATGCCTTGAATGGCACGCGAAGCGATGAGCATTGGCATGCCATTGCTAACAGCACACAGCAGAGATCCAATCCAGAAGATGACAGCCGCAGCGAGAAGAACAGGCTTGCGACCAAAGATATCTGAGATCTTGCCCCATGTCGGCACGAATGCGGCGTTGCCCAACAGATATGCACTTCCTATCCAGATGTAACCCTGACTTGAGTGAAACTCGTTGGCAATAGTAGGAACGGCTGTGGTAATAATGGTCGTATCCAAAGCGGCAAGGAAGAGCGCAAGACATAGAGCGCCAACTACCAAGATGGTCTCCGACGTGGTCCGTCCGGCCTCGGGGTCACCGGCCTCAGCTGCTCCGGGAGATGGGTTACTGCCGGCCGGTGTCGTCTCCGCTCCCTCGGAAGTTGGTTCGGCGGCTGGAGGGTCTTGGGAGTGTCCATTCGCTGCATAGGCCCCGTCTCGTTCAACATCAAGAGTACTATCTGAGCTAGTCCTCCGCTCCGGTGTTGGTGGTGAAGCGGCCATTGTTGCGCAAGAAAGCCCAAAAGGCTAGATGAAAAGATGAAGCCCCTACTTCTCTTCACCTATTTGAAATGGTGGAATGAAAGTCGTCGACGACTATAGTAGCTGTGAAGATCCTTGTCCGGAAGCCGGCGTTGACCGCAACGGTGATTGCTAATCAGGAACCTGTAGTTTTCTCAATACGGTTGTATTTGGCTTAATTACTCTGCGTTCAGTCTACGCCGGTGAAGGATTTTCATATGAGGATCCTGGTCAAAAAGGGGAGAAAGAGATTGAGGTGAGTTGAGTTGTTGATGTAGTCAAGTCCATTGTGATCCTTTCTCCGAAAACGGGGACCACGCACGCAATAACCATGACCGCCGTATTCATTAATTAAATCCGAGGCGCGAGGGCGAGGCCAGGAACTTTTTCGAGCAATTCGGCAAAAGGAGCCGTCTGGTCTCTCTTGGAGGGTGGAGAAATAATTCCATTGCAGTGAAATAAGAGCGTCAACGACATTCAAGACCCCAAGAACAAGGGTGTGTGTGGAGTCCGAGTATTATTGCCGGGGCATAGTTCCGTACACTTTTACGTACTCGCGTCCAAGATGATCCTCCGGCTTATTTATTGTATGTATCTAACGTATGTAAGTGTTAGCTTGAGGAGGCCGCCATGCAATTGCTCACCGGAATGACTCTTCTGTTCCTGTGCGTGTCTGGTCATCACCTTGCTTTGACGAGGCATCGGAAACTAGGTAGTTTGATTTCTCTCTTGTTCACCTAGCTTGAGACTTGTCCAAGATGAGCTAGAATGAACTCCTCGGAAGTGCATGACTAACAGTGTGAGTTCCTGATATGATTTATTCGTATCCCTTATTCGTAATGAGCTGACGTCCTTGAATGAGACGGCATCAAACCAGCATTTATTCTAGCATCGTGCATTTTGGGGCGGATTTACGTCGGAGGATATCATTCGATCCAGCTGTGCCCAATATCGAATGAGGCCGTCGATACAATCGAACGTCTGTTTACCCAAGTGTTACAGAAGCAACACCAGCATATCGCAGGGCACAAACAATAAGCAAATATATGATGATATTTGTCCACGGCCCCTAAACGCCAAGAACAATGTTTTGACGCTGATAATATCTCAGCCTATTTTACATATTTGTCCGACATCAAATCTCAAGTCGTCCTGTTTGAGTACTTGATACATCCATTAGAAGATCTTTGTGATGCTTTCTCTCGAGATGACACTGTTTTGTCGTTCATCTCGCTTGACTCTGAAGAAACTGTCACAGAAATCGCTACACCTCATATGTCGCAAAAAGTCCTCGTCATGAGTAATCACAATGAGCTGGAAATTGCTCTGTGCCTGTCGGGCCTTGATGATCATATGTAGACTCTCCGCCAGACTCTTGATATTGTCGCGATCCAAGTTTGTGGTGGGCTCATCGAGTGCGATCAGGCCACAGTTGACGCCGAAAGACTCAGCCAGAGCCAGGCGAATGATGATAGACGCGAGAACCTTTTGTCCAGCAGAACATCGACCGCGCATGTCCATCTCAGTGTCCTGCTTCACCATGCAGAGTCGGTAGTTGTAGCTGCGTTTGCCTGTGTTTGACTCATTGTCTGAGCGGATGAGAATAGTATCAATGTCTGTTCCTTGGTAGGTGCTCTGCCACAATTCGCCAGCAATGCGATTCACTTCGGCCATCTTCATGGAGTGAAATTGCATCACAGCTTTGTCCACGGCCGAGCTACACTGCGCCAAATCTTCGATAGCAGCCTTGGTCGTTTCCACGCGAATGTGCGACTCGCGATACTTTCTCTTGGCGTCCTTATAGTCCATTTCCCACTCTTGAAGGAGTCTCCCAAGTTCTTCATCTTTAGTTTTCATAGATCCCATAACAGAGCCTCGCTCGGCAAGAAGGCGGTTATAGTGGTTCTCTTGCATGCGAGCTTCAGCCTGGAGGCGTTCGTAATCCTCATCTGCATTGCGATCTTCCAACTCAGCAATCTCTTGACGGATAACGTCGATCGTGCGAAGGTTCTTGCGGTAGTTCAAGTTATCTTTGATGTTTTTCTTCTTGCGGTCTCCATTGTCAATGTCCTGCTTGAGCTTGTTCGTGCGAACAGTAAGGTCTGTGACCTCCTTTTCAGTACTCGCAATTGCCTTCTCAAGTGTGGCAATAGATCGTTCATTAGATACCAGATTCGAGGGTCCTCCTCGGTCGATATAATCTTGAATATCAGCATCCATCATTTTCATCTCGTTGACAGAGTTGGCTACGGCATCACGGGCCTCAGCAATGACTTGCTCCTTGGCCCGGCCGCGTCTTAGGACTTCATCACGGGCAGACCTTGCTTCAGTAATGCTGGGCTCAATGGTCTCCAACTCCTCGTCAGCTCGCTGGATGACGTTTCGTTGATGCGAAGCCTCTTCTTTCAGTGCCTGGATCTGATTCTGGAGGTCCTGCTTCTTGTCTAATTGGCCCGCTGCTCGGCTGATCTTGTTTCTTAGCTCGCTCTTTTCAAGCTCAAGAGAGCTGAGCTGATCTTTTGTGCGCTGGCGATCCGTAGTCAACTTCGCGATGCGATTTTTCAGGTTCCTCATCTGGTCCGATAGGCCAGCTTGAAGCTCATGAATCTCGTCGGGACTTCGAGTAACGCCACCTGACATTTGCTGAGACATGATACGGTCAACCTGGTTCTCAGACTCTGCAATATCCTTGACAGTTTGTGCAATGCTGAGGACAGTCTTTGACATATCTTCTAGGTCTTTCTGCTTCTCTTCCTCAGCCGACAAGACGGATCCTTGTTCTTCCACTTGTCTCTCAAGGGCATCAAACTCTGCTTCGGCAACCTTGCACTCTTCTCGAAGACTAGGCAGTTTGGCAGTCAACCGCTCATACGTATCATAAGATCCCCTGACGGATCGTAGCTTTTCCAAGTTTGCGACAGTATCCTTGAGGTCTTTTTCTGTATCAATTTTGCCTCTTGGGTCAAGGTGCTTGTCGATCCTTTTGCTCAAGCGCTCCATGCTTGCGGCTTGGTTGTCATCAAAATGGCGATCACAGAGTTGGCACTTGCGTTTAGTATCAAGCAAGCGCTTGCATTTTGTATAGTAGTCCACGAGAGCGTCGAAGAGGCTCAGCTCATTCCTGAGCTCTTCTACCTGTGACTCAGTGACCTCGATTTCCTCTTTGTAATCCTCAACGGTAGCATTATCGCGAACGGCAAGAAGAGCACTGACGACCTGCTGTTGGCAAGTAGCCGCCTCCTTGGATTTTTTTTCGTGGGACTCTTTAGATGTTCTCAACTTGAATTCCACTTTCTGCTGTTTTTGGCGGATTTGTTCACGGCGCTTCTGGGCCTCACTGACAACCTTGCTCTGGTCCTTAATCAATGCCTGAAATTTAGAATCGAGTGTTTCCGGCTGCCAGTCACTACCAAGAATTTTATCGAGCTTCGGCTTCCAGGTGCTTGTCAAGGTATCAAGCTTGCGCTTGCGGTCAGCAAGTTCCTTCTTCCTGTAGTCAAGCTGGGCTCGCTCAGACGCTAGACGAGTGCGTTCTACAAGTTCCCGGCCTAGCTTATCGTTCTCGTTCTCGAGCTGATGCAGCTTATCGTTCTCGTCAGAGATTTGGCGGTCCCAATCGGCGTTCTCAAAGGTCTTCTGGGTTGTCTGAAATCTGCTTTCAAGGTCTTGCATCTGCCCATCAAGCACAGCCTTGGCACCCTCATCCACGTCTATCTGGCTTGACTCGTTCTGGAGCACCGAAGTGCGTTTTTCAATAGCGCCCATTCGTTGTTTCGCGGACACGCGGTCTTGTGTGCGAGCAGCTTTACGGCCTTCAAGCTCAGTGATGACGCCAGTGGCCCGGTCGAGTTCAGCGGAGTTGTCTTTCTGCAAGCGCTCCAGGTCCCGTTTCTTCTCGCTCAGAAGTTTTTGAAGTCTGTCATTAAAGGATTTCACATGGTGATCCGATAGATCGCCGTCAAAGCCCGAGAAGCCGTAAGACTGGGCGGCTTCCTGAATGGTTTCCATGCGTATCTTCAATTGACGCTCGTACTTGTCTTTGTCCGATTGGTGTTTGCCCTGTTCGGAAAGCTTGACAGAAAGATCCTTTCGTGATTTTCCTAATTCGGTCTGCAATTCGTTATACTGTGCTTTGTTCTGGTCGGCCTCATCCTGAAGATGCTGCATACGGTCTTCGTAATGTGCTAGGTCACCCTCGAGCTTTCCGTCATCATCGGGCAATTCGTCGATAGTGGCCTTCAATTCTTTGACAGCCTCTTCTCTGTACTCAAGCTGTTCACGCTTGGTGTTGAGGTTCTGCACAATTGCAAGGTGGCTATTCGCCGTTTCTCGGATGTTTCGGATCTTGTCTTGCGTTTCCTCCATTTCGGAACTGATAGACTCACAAGTTTCTCGAGATCCCTCAATTTCGGCTTGCAGGGCTTTCATCCTCTTCTCGGCCCTGTCACCGCGATCCTTGTTCACCTTGTTATGAGCCTCGTCATTCTGAAGCTTGCCGAGCTGCTCGACCTGTTTCTTTCGGAGGACCTTGAGGTTGTCGATGGCTTTCGTATATTTCATGGCCTCGAATATCTCGTCAAATCGTTTCTTCAAAGCAGCAGGCTCACTCAATGGCCAGAGGGATTCGTCTTGATGGCAGAAAATGACAGCATCAAGAATTGCAGGAGAAACACCAAGACGCTCCGGGATCATTTCATCTAGCTGAGCTTGCCGAGTAGAAGTTGTTGTTCGCTCTCCATTATTGACTACAACTAGGGAGCAGTCTAGGGTTTTCTGAGAGCGGGTGGTCTTCTTGACGGTAAGTTGTAAACTTCGAGTAGCGACATGTTGACGGTCATTGATCGATCGAAATTGGAGTTTGACCTGGGCCATAACCTCCTTCTCACCACAAAGCTACGTTATGTTAGCATCAAGATCTGCTTGATCTGCTTCTGGGGAAATGCGCATGTCGGCACCTTTGGATCATGAATGAAAGCGCCGCCCTTGCTGTTAGGCGGCAGCTCGCCGGTCGTGGCATATTTTAGACACTCAATGATCGTTGTCTTTCCCGATCCATTGTAGCCGACAATGAGAGTCAGAGGCGTATTGAACTGGATAGCTTCACGGACTGAGGGGCTAAAGGACCGCACACCCGAGATCGAAAGCTTGTCGATTCTGGACATGGTGACTACTACCTCACCTGGGGAACGCGGTAACGGCAGTGTCGATTACGTAGATTAAAACATTGACTAATAAGAAAAGCTGCAGTTCACAAGTCACAACAACGTCGAGGCCTTGAATAAGGTAGACAACAAGTGTCGCTCGTTAGCGTGGATCGGGCAGCTGAAGTCAAATTGGCGGGTAACGCGACGTTAGATACGAAGACGCGTTGAGAGGTTCAAAAGCTAGGAACAGTCGATGCGTAAGCACGTGGTTGGCTGGTTTAGCCGGAGTTCTCGCGATTCACTGGGAAGAGAAGATGGAAAGTACCATGATCCGATCCAAATCTAAGGTAGGTACCTAGGTAACGTCCATAGACTCCATACTGCCTGCCTACATGACTTGTTCACTAATCATTTCTCCAAAAATGGCCAGTTTTGAAAAGCTATTTGAGCTCAACGATATCTACACTCCAGCATTGTTTCGACGTTTGCGAAAGTGTTTCATTTTTGTCATTCTCTTATTGGCAAGTACAAATTTGTGACGTTTCATCAATTGGCGAGATCGACTAGAAGATTACGTCTTTTCAACGTCAGCAGATCATCAAGTGGCAAGTCTCCAGAGACCCCTAAAATCAAGACCTCCAAAATCCCTGGGCCAAAACACAAGCAAACCCACCCCAGTCCTGGCGCCACTCCGCTTCGGGTCAGTACGATGTAGACCCGAGACCCCTTACATCTGGAGCGACATTGCTTGACGATTTTCCCTGAGAGCCAGAGAGCCTAATAAGGGCCTCGAAGGGTCTAGAGAGCTGCAGAAGGAACGAAATATAGACATTTTAGTAGAAGACAAGAAAACTTAGGGCCCCTGTTCTAAGTGACAGAAATATTTAGGTAAGTTTAGTATATTTTGGTTGGTCTTTAGACCAGTTGATCTTGGCACCCTAGGTTCATGTCAGAGGTTTCCTTGTACCCTGGGGCACTCAAGCAGTTCAATAGCGTATTTTTTTTCTTTTTGGTGATAGTAGTTGTGCCATGACAGTGACATATTTCTGCTTTCCTTGCATGAAAAACTGAGAAAACAGCAGGCTTTAGATGAGGCGACAAATTTGGGAAGGATTTGCTTACGAGACCTGCAGACGTGCAGCCTACTACATGGTTTTGAACAAGACATGGTCTTCTTCTCTTCGCCTCTTGGGCATCTCTTGTTCCCCGATGCCATTTTCTTTCCCGATATCTCGATCACAAATCTCTCCAACAAACCCCCGTAGCTGGCCCGCGATGATCCCCCTGAATGTCAAACTAATTAGACATCATGAATGCCCACGAGAATCGATACTTCTCCTCCGAGGCGCCTCGAATGAGATGCGACAAATATTGGTCAGCCACTGTGGATGGTGACCTACCTTGGCGCTTGGCTTGCGCTACTGCCGCTGGACCCTTTACGCTGGAACCCGCTAAGGCGATCCAAGGGTGCGCTAAAACGGACTACGCCGATGCAGTCAACCAATAGATCCGGCTGGAGAAACTCCTGTGAGAAAGCAGCCCGCTTTTACCGGGGCATAACCTCCGGAACACTGGCTCAATCGTTGGACAAGTTCCCATGAGGCTAAAGACAAGAACAGGGGGTGTTGCCGAGCAGTGCAGATTGGACAAGAGGTGACGTTTCATGCCCCATTCAATCCAAGGCAGCCCAAATTCCCATGTGTGAAAGAATCCAATTCTCCAAAAGTGCCATGTTTTACAGTGGCCAACTCCCTGATAGTCCCTGGCCACACTTGCTTTGCTGAGCTGCCCAGTCTGCCATGGCAGTCTATGGACTAATTGAGAGGGACACACACACACACACCACAAGCCTGTTTGCTGCCCTGTCATCAGACCCAAGCAAGGGGAAACAATTAAAAGTCGCTCTCAACCTCTGTCTCTGCTGTGAACCTAAGGATCTGCACCTTTCAAAGCGATCCTGAGCCTCGCCTTGACTCAGAAAGCGGGCCATTCTTTGTTATCCAAAGACGCTACTATAAACCGTGGTGTAGGTAGGTGACATGACAGATGGATATGTGTTTGCTGATATCTCTTCTCATCTTGCCCCGTTACAGCAAGTTCATCCAAAACCTTTCACAATCTTGCCTCGCACATGTCCTAAACCTTCTTGCTATACCGGGCGTCCCATCTCTCTGAGTACTGTCAGACAGGTAACTCCAATCTGTGCCCGTGCCCACGCAACATCTCTCATGCCTTGTTTTCTTTTAAGCCCCTTCAGCGCTGCCTCTTCATTTGATTTCATCACGCCAACGGCATTTTCAATTTGTGTTGTTGTTTCTAACATTTTGTAGGCGGCTAATAGGGACCCCTTCAACTTCTCTACCACTTTGTTCCTGGCCGATTACTCGATGCTCTTTGCTGTTCAGTATCTCACTGGATAGTAGAGAGGGGAAGCTCGACATCCATTTCTACGTTTCGAGTTAGATGTTGAGCTCAAGAATTTGCCATCGCCATACCCAAAAACAAAATTGAAGGATAAAACACACCGATACGACCCCAGAATACCTTATTCCGGGTATATCTTTTCGTTTTTCAGAATTTCTCATGGTACTCAAGCCATCGAAACAATATTTCCAATTGGACAACTCATCCCAGCTCTTATCGCTGCTGTCGCATCCACTCCACTGAGTCGAGCGCTGAGGAGACCACCAAGGCCACTGGAATTGCCCTTTCCGGGTTCTCGCCCATGCAGCTTTGAATACTCGACTGCCACATGAATGAATGCGCCGCAACCATGTCCCACGGACCACCTCCACCACCTCCTCCGCCCCAGGGCGCCCCTCATCCGAACAACTTCAACAATTTCTACGGTTTCAACCTCGATATTGGTTCTCTCCCCGACATGACGGGTGGCCAGGTCAATTACCACTCCCCTCCCCGCGACGCCGACGCCGACGCCGGGGCTGCGGCCCTATCTATAGCGCCCCCCCAATCGGCCAAGGCCAACGCAACCTTGATCTTCGATCATTTCGGCTAACCCGATTTTGTAGATGGGCGCTGATGGTCAGGACAACGATCTTATGGCCATGCTCGATAATAGTATGCTCGGTGGCATAACAGACATTCCAATGAACCTCGAATCCGCAGATGACTCCAACATGAGCGGCTCTTTTGGCAATGGGCAATCGACCACTGAAGAGTCTGTCGCGAGAGCTGAAAATCAATTCAACACAGCAGCCAACAATGTTCCTGGCGCCGGACCCCTCCCCGCCGGCGCCTTTGCTCAGATGAATCTCGCTGGCGCCAGCACCCTCACAGAGTTCACCAAGCGAAGAAATTGGCCCGCCAAGGTCGTGGAAGAGCTCAGAGACTTTTTACAGATTCTCGATGCCAACGGTCGCATCAAGTACGCATCACCTAGCATTCTCCAGGTCACTGGATACAGTGTAGAGGAGATCCAAGATGTGTTTCTGAAAGACCTGATCCACCCAGATGACCAAGGTGTTTTTGTCGCAGAACTCAACGAATCCATCGCATCAGGCAACCCGCTACGACTTTTTTACCGTTTCAAAAAGAAGGACGCCGAGTACGCGATATTTGAAACTGTCGGCCATGCACACATTGCTGGCGCCAAGTTCGCCCCCAATCCAAATAACCAGTCGCCCTTCTGCCAGGCCGTGTTCATGATGGCGCGACCATATCCCACCAAAAACGCTGGACTTCTAGACTCGTTCCTTGAGCATAAGATCGAAAATGAAAGATTAAAGCGCCGTATAGCCGAGCTCCGCCGTGAAGAGGAGGCCGAAAATGATGAGGCGCAAAAGCAGTGGCTGCAGAGTCAATCGGGTCGGTCAGACATGACACCATCTGAGGGAACTGGCGTCTCCTCGGGAACCTTTTACCGTCCGGGTAGCGAAAGAGGAATGACAGAGGCCGATCGAGCAGCTCTCAATAAAGCTCTTACACGCGAGAATCTCGAAGGCTCAGTCGCAGGCGGTCGGCAGGATTCGCTGAAGGATAAGATGGCTCGTTACGAAGGAGCATCGCACACAGACACGATTGAGATGTTAACGGGATTGCGATACATTGAGGGCGAACGAAGCCGGGGAATTACGACTGGTAATGCTAGCCCGACCCTGATCAAGGGCGATGCAGGAATTGCCATTCCGATGGAGCGGGACCCTCGAACCGGCGATAAAAAGAAGAAGCTCAAGACGTCTGAGGAATATGTGTGTACGGACTGTGGTAAGTGGTTCTTGTCGCCGTAAGTGACCTGTTTAACAGTACTAATATAACACAGGCACCCTGGATTCACCGGAATGGAGAAAGGGACCACAAGGACCGAAGACATTATGCAACGCGTGCGGCTTACGTTGGGCCAAGAGGGAGAAGAAGAGAACCAGCACCAGCCATCCTCCTACGGTGGATCAATCTGTATGATCACGAGGCGACGAAATGGCTTCCAAGGAGTTATCGATCTACCGGCCTGTAAGGTACATGACACGACCGAAACGAGGGCAGCAAGTAGCAGTGTTTGCCATGATATAAGACGAGCTGGCTAGAGACACGGTGCCTGGGGCACGACGGAGTTTGGGCTGAAATTGCTGATTTGAATGGCGAAAAGCGGGATACACGAGACGCTCACAGCCGGTTGTTTATTTGATTACTTTCTTTTTGCAAACTCACGACTGAACTGGATATTTGATTTGTCACGACTGGGACTACAACACAGATACCTGGAGCGTAGGGAGCATTTGGGCAGACTTAGCTGACGTGCGCGCCCTTGATGCGCCACGAATATGAATTGACGCATTGTTTGTAGTGACTGTCGTGACTAAAAGATGCAACGACATGAAACCCCATTTCCCTCTGGCTATAGTCCCTAACCCACCATATTCAGTGTTGGTCAATACAGTCAGTCAGGGTCTTGTTTCCATACGTGACGATGTACGTAGCTGAGCTGAAGCTATGATCCATGGCAGCTGAAATAAGCAATAGCTAATGCTACAGGTCCCACTAAAGACCAAATGGATTGCGTAGGTCCCGTCGTGACAAGCTCCCCATAATTATGAGGAGAGCTGTAGCTTGTACAGCTGGGTCCACGTCAGACACTTCAATGGCAATCGCAGCAAAGTATTGGATGGATAATACGGCATAAGGCACCTAACACACAGTGATACACTCTGGTAGAGGGTCAAGTAACAGTAGAGGCTTTATCAATTGAGCTGATTGGACGTCTGTTCTCCGACCTCAAAGTACACACAGCACCTGAGACTTGGACCCCTCCCTACCTATTTCAACTCAATCCTTTGCATCATCAACCTCTCTCTCATATACACTTCCCTCTCGAAACTAAACAAATTCCAATACAAACCCATTCTCCATCCTCTCACACTACAATCGCAATCATGGATAAACTCATCAACGCCGCTAAGGACTATCTTGATGACGACAAGGACAAGCGTCAAGGTATGTTAATATCTACATCCTCTTGTTACCCCGCCAAGAATCCATGATGCCCCTCATACGACCTCAGACCGTCGAAGGGGGTTTAAAGCAACAGTTAGCCGTTGTTTTGCAGATCTCGACATTTCAAACATAACTCAAACTTCAGATGACTTCGGCTAATTGATATTCTTTCTAGAACACCAGCAGCAAGGACACGGACAGCAGCAAGGTTACGGAGGCCAAGACCAGGGCTATGGCCAACAGCAAGGCTATGGACAACAAGGGGGCCAGTATGGCCAGCAACAGCAGTACCCTCCTGCTGGTGGCATCCGTTAGTTATTAACACAGGCTGCCACTCGAGCGAGCGAATCTAACAATACACAGAGTCTCAGGGTGGCGGTGGCTTTTCCAGCTTCCTTGGTGGAAACGTCGACTTTGATAATGCCAAGGAGGAAGCCCATCAGAAGGCCGGATCTTCTGGCGACAAGGACCTCTTTGGAAGCATTCTAGGATCTCTCGGGCAGAAACAGAACAAGCTTGCTGATGAGGACCTTGATGAGGAGGGTAAGTAATAGATTTCTGTTTGATGAGCAAGACACACGCTGATGACATATGACCACCAGATGCCATCAAGCAGCACAAGAACACTTACAACGACGACGACTCCCAGCAAGACAGCAAGAGTCTGGGTACCGCTGCTGCTATGCAGGCTCTCAAGATGTTTACCCAGGGCCAGGGCCAAAGCAGCACTGGTGCCAACAGTCAGACAGCGTTCTTGGGACTTGCCTTGGCCGAGGCCAGTAAGGTTAGTTTTGAGGTACAGTACAGTTATAAGTCAGCGTCTAATATGAATTTATAGCTCTTTGACAACAAGGCCGCATCAGGCAAGGTATCTGAGGGCACGAGCAAGGAGAGCGTCATCCAGCAGGCTGGTGAAGTCGCTTTCAAGATGTACCTCAAGAACCAGGCCGGTGCTGGTGGACAGCAGGGTGGTGCTTCTGGTCTTATGAGTCTTGCTTCTAAGTTCCTGGCTAAATAAGCCTAATAGTTGCTACGACATGTAGTCATAAGGGGGTGGGCGCTAAGCAACACCCTTGATCACCACATGCTAAATAACAATTAAAAGACTGCATGTTCCATTCTCATTTTGCGATGTAAGTGAAAAACAGCGAGTCATCATCTTAATACAACGGGTTTATGCCTTCTGCTTAGCCAGATCCACAACATCCAACCACTCATCAGGTCGACGGCGGCCAGACTCTGTAGCGTTATGCAGATATTCTTCTGCCTCTGCTGCCCAAGCTAAGAGCTGCTCCTCGCTACCCCATTCTCCTGTAGCCATCAAGCCAATAGAGACCTTACCCTCACCCTGATCCGGATCTACGTATCCCACAGGAGCTGACACCGCAGGCGTGCCGGTCAAGTTGGCCAAAAAGACGTAGAGCATGTTTCGAATGGTCGTGTTGGTATCACTCATGCCGTAGGCTTGGTCACCAGGGACAATAGGCCATCCAATCAAGGGACTTGTAGGTGTCATGATAAGAAGGCCAGGGTGCTTCTGGAATAAGTAGGCGAGATGTTGCATGATGAGCTCTCGTAACGCACCATATTTGAGCATATCAGCCGCAGGAGTCCTGGTACCGACAGACATCACGACCTTGTTAGCGGGCCCTACCAGGGAGAGCCAGTCAGCGGGATTGGGAGTTCGTCGGCGGGCTGACTCGGCCATTTCAGTGATACAGACAACACTGTGTGCAAGTTGCGCCTCGGGGATGTATGGGATAGTGATGTCGATGATCTCATAACCGCACTTGTTGGCGAGGTAATTGACCGCCCTGTCACAGACCTCCTTGACACGAGGGTCAGCCTTGTTCCACCAGTCACGGTAAATTCCCATGACCTTCTTCTGGCCCTTCGGCGGTGGGTCAGAGCGAGCAAAGCGGCTTTGAATATGACAATCTGGGTTTGGCTGGGACATGACGCGGTAGGCAATAGTCAGGTCTGATACAGTAGCGGCGATAGGACCGGTGATACACATGGTGTTATTCATAAACATAGTTCTGTTATGTGTGGTCTTGAGTCCGTAGACGCCATTGAAAGTGGGAGGGATACGGATACTGCCTCCCGCGTCCGTGCCAACGGCGATAGGGACAACACCAGCTGAGACAGTGGATGCGCCTCCTGAGGAAGAACCGCCAGGATAGTAGGATTTGTTGAGCCAGTTGGTGGGTGTTCCTTGTGCAGCCTGGATTTGTCAGTGGTGTCTTGTACAAGGGGGCCATGCTTACATTGCATCCGCTGGTGTCTGATCAAGGTCAGTAATTGTATTAGAAAGACGTTGTATATGGACTCACCGGAGCCAAGCTCATGCATAGCATTCTTTCCAATGACTACAGCACCGGCTTCCTGGAGTTTCTTCACTGGCCACGACGATTCTTTCTGCTCCTTGAAGGTTTCAATGGAGGGGTCATATTTCATACCGATGTGGTTATGAAAACCCTTAACATCAGTATCATCCTTGACACCGATAGGCACGCCGTCCAAAACACCCAGTGGCTTGCCAGCAGCATAACGCTCGGTTGATGCTTTGGCAGCCTCGAGGACTAGGTGATCTTTGCCGTGGTTATCAACCCAGCCATCAGAATACTTTCCATCTGGTCTGGAGATTTGGGGGAGGAGAGCTTCAGCGACTTGAAGAGGTGTCACTTGACCTGACTTGTACATCTCATGGTAGTCACTAGCCGTGTAGTAGCGTGCTTTGGAATCTGCATACTGGGACTTGAGTAGCGCGGGTTCAAAGTCAAGCATAGGCTCTGTAGGGCCCAGGGGAGTTACGGTAGGCTGAGGATGTTAGCTATGTGGGACTTGGTATGGAGTAATGACCGCTTACATGAAACCTGTAGGGAACATCATCAAGAGCAGGAATATCTTTGATAGTGCCAAAGTGGGCATTATCCCAGAAATATTGTTGAAGGAACCCAACTTTGGCGATGCTACAAGATTTAGCTTTGGTAAGGATGTGAGGAACAGGATATGAAACTCACAGGTCAGCACCAATTACGAGAGGAATGCCTCGAAATGTAGGGTTGTTTTCGACTGTGGGATTGTATGTAGCTGCTGGAGCCTCGACAGGCTTGGGATAGTCGGCAAAGTCGGAGGGGGCCATGGTGGAAGATTCGGGCCCGCGATTGTGTTAGTCTGAGGAAAGATTCTGGGGCAAGGAGACCTGTAGAGTTTATATAAATGGCAGAAGCAGCAGCAAGAACAAAGGGTTGTGTCCTAATAGAGCAGGTCTGGAGATAAATAAGAGGTTCAACTCTTTCCTAAGCTAAGCTGAGCTTAGGCTGCATCTGCTGTTTACGACCCCTAGAACGCCAACCTAGGCTACCCCACACAAGGTTCATGAATGAGATGCCATTTGCCGAGGCTCGTAAAAGATCGATCATGAAGAGAAACTAGAGAAAGTATTCAGGAACAATCTATTTTTGCATGGAGCAGTCGATTTTTCGATACGGAAAGACCAATCACACTAACTCAAGCGGAATTCAATTCATTGGACCGCGATTCGTCCATCACTTGAATCAGACGCCGTCACAAGCGATACAGCGTCCATTGTTTAGAGTGACTAATCCTTGCACATTGAATACCCAAGCATTTACGCGTCTGACGCAGAATTCATATAGACCAAAGGGACGGGTCGGTCAAATAAGACGAACAACGAACCAATTTGAATGAATGATTAAAACAATAAAGTCCTCAGGCAAGACGAACAGCATCTAATGGAAGACCATGTGGTTGCCTTACGTCATCCCAAACTACCTCACTACTCCGTAGGTACCTCCCTTTAGTGCGTTTAGTGCCCCGCATCACAGCATCGCATCACATGGCATCTTTGTCACTCCTCACTCGATAGGTAAGCTAAACTCCAACAGCTACAGACACCGTGACCGGGGCCGTGACCGTTTTCTTTTGATTTGATCTCATAACTCTCCATGGCCTTGCTTTCTAAATCTTTCTCCTAACAAAAGACTCATCCATGGTCAGCAACATACAGTCTACAAAGCTCTCCTAGGAGCTCGGCTCTTACACAGCTCAACCCCTCCAGGGATAGCTTCGCGATAAGCTACCTAGTATCTACAACATCATCACCATCAACATGTCGCTCTTTACCGCGCAGCTTTATCCTGGCCGAGCACTAGGATTCCTAGGTATGGTAACAACATCAGAAGACTTGGTAACATCTATTGACGTATTTGCAGTCCTCGGCGCAACTCTTCACGATGTCCTTACCCGTCTTAAAGCTGAACCCCAACGCTTCCAGAAGATCGAGCTACTTTACTCCCCTGACCGACCTGTCACCGAACCCGTTGGCGTCGAACTCCCTGGGAATGGCATACGATTAAGATTTGACGGCCCCGAACAGCGTCTGCGTCTTGTCGAGGTTACCGACTTTACCAAGAATCACATTACCTTCAAAGAGCGAGATCTTGTAAAACCATCTGCTGGTACCCCTGGATCTCCTTCATCAGGCGACTCGACATCAGGACCGACTTTCCGACATATATACCATAAACTTCTCGGCCCTACGTACGCCGGTGAATTTATTCCGCCATCTAGTGGACACGATAATGGCATCTATGTCTTGTCCTATCCCGGTGTTGCCTTTAACTTCGCACTTAATCCTTCCGAGTACTCGCCCGAGAAAGACGTAGTGTCGACTTTCGCATCGGCATCTAGTCAAGTCGCAACCTCGATGGCTATCTTTAGTGGTGATTCCTGGGCTGATGCTAGACCGACTCTTTGGACTGAGATTTTGCCCAGCATCAAGTCAACCACCGTGATTCCTCGAGGTAAAGATGTCTACCCCGACGAAATTTCGCTTGTTCGATTACATGGAGCTGGAAAGATTCAGCTTTTCAGGAAATGGACCAGCAACTCTTTCTGGATCACCCTTGGCGAGACGACACCTCAAGATCTCCTCATGGAGTTGGGGCCTCCGAATGCCATTTATCGCAAGAATGATCAGAAAATGGTTATTCATAAGATGCGTACCGCAAGCAACGCCAAAGGTCGTCCAGATGCTGCTGATATAGGCCGACCTGAAGATCTCACCGATACCGATCAGTCTTCCATGCACGAGGGGTCTGATGCGTCCGACAATGAAGAAGCCGTCGATGATCAGATCGGTCTTAACACAAACGGCGAATGCTTCTATAATTATTTCTATCTTGGGTTCGACATATTAATATCGACTCGTGTACCCCCGTCACAAGCTCCTCCTGGTAGCTTAGGCAGCGAAGCAGGAGGTCAGAACGGCATCATATCCCATTCTCCCGATCGATTAGTAGCCACAAAGCTGGTTCTACATGGTAACATACCTGGCTCATACGAATTCAATCGTCATCGCCGTTGTCGCTGGGAGATCGCTTACCTGGACTCTCTAAATGATGGCAACGGACCGACAGATTCAGAAACGCCTTTCCCACAAATAGAGGACCGTATGAATGCTGCATGGGCATCTGCATTCCCACCAAGCGACTCTAAGCAAAGACAACGCGGCATGGTTCTTAATCGTGGCTGGGGCGATAGTCCAGGCAGTAGTTGTGAGTTCTTGGGAGGGTGGGAGGAGAGCGGCGCAAGGAGAGCAGAAACAAACGGTGATTCCACGACCACGCTGTATGGTTTCCCAGGGCTGGTATTTGAAGTTTTGAAGAATGGGCATGTCAACACTGTCACAGTGTTTTGATCTACGGTGTCACATCTGGGTTTTGTTTGGGGGAGTCAGTATATGGTGTTTGGGAAGAGTCGATATGATGGCTCATTTTCGTTTGCTTCGATACCTTTGTGCATATGATCTTAGATTCCCTGTGAATTTATATTGACAGGTCTTTATTCTTGTATTGCTCTTTACTATGTTGCCATTGCCTACCTAAGTAATTTGATGAACGAGGCACGAGATGCCGGAAAGTGCATCAAGGGAGGCAAGAGCTTCCACAACTACATTGCTCAATGCACTGCCTTTATTCACTGCCAACCTCAACTCTCTTCACTCTCGCTTCCCCTCGCCAGTTTATACAACTTTCTACAGCAAACATCTCTCTTCTTCATTCTTCATTCTTCATTCACAACCAAGAAATCACCATGTCGCCCACAGAAAAGGAAAACACTACAGAGCCAGTCGACAAAGAAGCCATCCGGAAGTTGATCAAAGAGCTCGAGGGCAAACTCGAAGCTCTGTACACCCTCAGCGACGAGGTCAACAGAGGTATTCTCGAGAGCAAAGATGCACTCGAAAGTCTCCGCGAGAAGCGCGTCAAGCTTATCAGAGCGCGATTGGACCAGATCTTCCAGCAGTGGAATATCGGATCTCTGACTAGCAACCATCAACCGTATGTTACCTTTGACTTCTGCGAATCCGATGCTGAGTGCGGTTTTTAGTTCAACCCAGAATCAGGGTCAGAATCAGAGTCAGAATTTGAGTTTGGGTTTGGGCCATGTTCCAGGATCGAGCCAGGCTCAGACTCAAGCCGGGATCAACCAACAAGGGCAGTTCGGTTTGCCATGGTAGATACTAGGTTGGTCGGTATGTGAAATATCTATCTTTTGTGATACAATGACGAGGCTCTTGCTAATGTTGAATTGAAGGAAGTACATCCAAGGAACTCTCTAGTAAGAAGATGGTGGATCAGACTATGAGCCAGTGAGCCAGTATATTGCGTTATAGCATAGAAGGAACAGGCCATTATCAGCCTTATATAAGTCACACTCCGAGATCACGAGATACTTATCGATATCCCGTAGTAAAAGGTCCTGAAGTGTATGTTGTACTCCTATATTTCATCTACGCAAGTTGGCCTTTCATGGTGCCCAAAGTAACTGGAAAGGCACAACTATGGGGAAACAGATCCCCATTAGTAAGGCTATAGCCTCGGTATTCAAGTTATGCTGTTTTTTTACTGTCGATATGATCATTTATTGCGCTGGATCAACCGAGGTGTGTATGTTTTCGGGCATCTTAGATAGGATCTGGGGGAAGAAGGAATTTCTCGATATCCTTACAAGTCTGACTCAAGTCTCATGTAAAGATTGACTCACAATATAGTTATGCAGGCAGCCCGTGCCATCTAGGAGCTGACTGCAATAAAACCCTAATAAGTAATATGAACTCAAGGTAAATGCAAACAATTATACTGACTTGGAACTTAGGTGCGGTTGCCGAAGGTCATAGGGCCGGCCTTGAGCACTTTGAAAGCAATAGAAGAAGAGAGAGAGTACATTTCCGAGTGCAACACATGACTAACAACTACATCAACTGCTAAGAATCAATAATGCACCATCGTAGAAAAGGATCAAGGGTGAACTTTGTCAAGGCTTCTGCTAAACTGATCTTATACACAAGCTTTTGTAATGACGAGTCTCTGTGACTGCCGTTCAAGCCATCTATTACTACATCGTACACGCTACGCCAGGTATCATCATGCTCCTTTTCCTCCTATCCGTTTCCCATATCATGCGTATTTCATAACTCTCTACCATTCGTCGACCTCTCCCTTCTTGGGTTTTTGTACCCGCACAACTTTGTCACAGTTGAGCAAGCATAGAGGATCGAAGGCTTTCTTGATCTACAATGACCGTTAGCAAGCTGCTCATTTCAATATATGGGCAATATTCTTACCTGTCGCATCGCGTCAACTGTAGACTCGCCAAGCTCATGGGGGAGATAATCCCGCTTGACAAGTCCAACACCGTGCTCACCCGTCACGGTACCCTCCATCTCAACAGCCTTCTTAACCATGCGATGCACAACAGCCTCGGCCTTTGCACGCTGAGCATCGTTGTACAGCAGAATGGTGTGGAAGTTGCCGTCACCGACATGTCCTACGATAGAAGCAAACAGGCCACTCTTTGCCATGTCCTCCTTGGTCTCCTCAATCAGATCCGGTAGCTTGCTCATGGGTACAGCAACATCACCTGTCCACACGTGGTCGCCAGGCTTCTTGACAGCTGTGGTACTCCAGAGAGCCTCCTTTCGTGCACTCCACAGCTCGTCCTGCTCTTCTTGGCTCTTAGCAAACTCAAAGGTCTTGCTGCCAGCCTGCTTGGCAAGCCCCTGCACTTGGGCAACCTGCTCCTTGACACCGGCAGGAGTTCCAGCGAACTTGAAAAAGAGTGTTGCTGCCTCTGTCCAAGCTCGCGATGTCATGCCCGCATCGTTGATGCACTTCATCTGGTTGTCGTCGAGAATCTCGACAGCAGCAACGGGGATGCCCTGGGCCACGACCTTGCTCACACAAGTAGCAGCATGACGGATCGAGGGGAAACTGCAGACAGCGACGCTGGTAGACTCAGGCTTGACGGTAACCTTGAGAGTAGCCTCAGTCACGAGGCCAAGAGTACCCTCGGAACCGATGAACAGCTTGGTGAGATCGTAGCCAGCAGAGCTCTTGCGAGGTCGCTGCCGGGTCTTGATGACAGTACCATCAGCAAGAACGACAGTCAAGCTGAGAACCCATTCGCGCATAGTACCATAGCGATAGGCGTTGGTGCCACTGCACCCAGTGCCAATCATTCCTCCAATCATAGCACCAGGGCCAGGGTCAGGAGGGAAGAAGAGACCCTCATGCCCCAGGTGGTCATTTAGAGCTTCCCAGCCCATCGCGGGCTGGACAACGACATCTAGATCCTCCTTGTGAAGATTGATAATCTTGTTCATACGGCCAAAGTCGATGGAGATGCCCTTGCGGGTAGGTGTAAAGTGACCTTCGAGACTGGTACCGCCGCTATAACCTGTAACGGGAATCTTGCGCTTATGGCAAACCTTCATAATCTCAGACACCTCTTCAGTGCTTGAAGGATAGACAACGCAAAACGGACGGTCTTCGGGGCCAGCCTGGTGAGAGGACCAGCTGGATGTAGCGTGGTGTTCGAGGTCGTTCTCGGCGGTGCTGACATTTTCTTGGCCGACAATCTTGACAAAGTCGGCCCAGGCAGCCTGCATGTTCTCGAGCTTCGTGTTGTGCTTGGGAGCTTTGGATTTGTTGAGGGGTAGTGTCGACGTGGGCTCGGGGTCTCTTGGCCAATATGTACCAAGCCAGTATGAGATACCGACGCCCGAGAGGAAGACTATCATTTGTTAGACTTCTGGTCTTTAAAGGAGTGGTTGAACGTACCAAATGTCACCATCCAGTTCCTTGTAGGGTCTGTCATGTTGCGCCACTCCTCGTACTTCTCTCTCTGCTCCCGCTCACGCCTTAATCGAGATCCAATACTGCCCATGACCTGTCCTTGGAATGTCCTTCCCACCTTTGTCTCGTTACTCTGTCGGGCGGGGGTATTCTTATTCGGCCTTTCAGGCTCGATCTCGGTAGCGTAAGAGCGGGAGAAAGAAGCAGGTAACCTCGTAGTTCGACAACTAGCTGTGGTGGGTGTCCGCAAGCTCCGGAGAGCAGCACGCTGAGCGCGCAATTGAAGAGAAGCCATTGCGATGTAGCTTGTGCGCGGGGCGAGGTTGAATGTCAGTAGCAGGTGTAATTAAGATATATAGGTCGTAAAATGGTGTAGAGGAGCTGGTCGAAGCTGTAGGAGTGTGTCGGGATAGGAATTAACCGACGAGGAGACGTCGATGTCGAGCTTAAGTGTTGAAGTCGACGGCAATGGAAAATTGTTAGGACGGAGTTGGAATACCGCACTATAATTCCCGAACCCCACACCACGGGGCCTTGTTTCGGACGTCTTCAGGCCCTGAGATCGGCTTCGATTAGATCTGCTACGGCGTGGAGGCTTTTGTCTAATTCTCATTGGTTGTGTTATTCTATTTCCTCTTATACTTGCCTTTTTCGTTATTGTTTCCTCGGTATAATTCAGCAGTCGCGCTGTGCAATGTCCGTCTTCCCATATCTACGATACCGATCCGTACCGGCCGGGCCCGGAGCTTCTCACTCAGTCTTGTAAGATAGGATCTATCGATGGCTGAAAAACTGACCAAAGTGGATGCTCAATGTGATTTCAAGGATCAATATTGACTATAGAGGGGGCACTTTGAAGAGCAATTATCACATCAAAGCACGTCACCGCCGGCCTCGGCCAGTCTCACTATCATGTATTACCAATCCTGTTCCAATGAACCTCGAATCAAGTCTTTATCCTGTATTATATGTTCTGAAGCAGTGAATGCTTTCACGTATCCATATAATGAATTACAATAGCCGAGACGTCAGATCTTCGGAGATTGGCCACCGCCGTTGATGAAAGTCTCAGCCGCATTCCCCAAAAAATATCGCGGAGACCAAGTCCGCTCTCCCAATGCTTCCATCCCGACGCCCAGAAAACTATCAAGCCTGCCAATCATATGCTGTGTATTGTCCCGAAACTCCGTCCGCCCGTTTCCTTGTTGTCATTGTTATCATAAGTACCATGGTAGCTCTTCGGATTCAAAGGTACAAGAAGTGATCATATGCTGCCGTGTTGCACAAGCTGAACAGTAAAAGTCGGTGTTCCACTCTGCATATGGTCAAAATAGGCTGCCAACTCATCATCTCCTTGTATCTGAAGGGGTAATTCGTTGCCCTTGGGGTCCTTAATGATGCCCTCGATACGAACACACATCGCTCCGGGAAACTTAGCAACCGCGACCTGTCGTAGCTCTTGGATTGACTGTGAAGACATTGTAGATATCCACAGGCTGGCATTGGCTGGATATGTTGAAGTAGGGTGCAATCGCATGAATACTGCAAAAGAAGATGGTACGGCAGGCACTGAAGGCACAGGCGAGAACATTGTATTAGACGCCGATGCCGAGAATTGGTGCTGCACGTATTGCTGCTGCATGTAGTTTGCCTGTGGTTGATTCCCCAAGTACATCGATGAGCCGTACTGAGCGTCCATGGACACGGTGTTGGTAGCGGACGAGCCCAGCATTCTATGGGGTTGGGGTAGGACAGCCTGAGAAGTCGGCATGCCCAGAGCCGGCAATTGTACCTGTCCTGGCCGTTGTGGTGCTGGTAGTTGTCCGGTTGTTGAATAGGCAATACGTGAGTCGACTGGCTCATGGACAGGCTCATACCCATTGTCATCCATGGGCTGGTCTATCATCGGATGCGCAGGTGAACTGGACCCTGGGGCTCCCCTCTCTGACATTCCGAAGGCATGGGGGGTCTCTGTTGCTCTTTGGGCTTGTTGTTGATATATGCTTGGTTGGGCCTCAGTGAGTTGCGAGTCCTGGACAGTATCTCGTGGTTTGTCATTCTGAGACTTGCGCTTTGGTGACTCGTTCTGCTTGGGAGCTTTGCCACTTTTGGTGGTCTTGGATCTCTTCTCGTCGCGTCTTCTCTTGATCACATCTCGAGCGACGATCTCGACTGCCTTAACTTTTCGGCGAGATGATTCATCGTTTCCATGAAGGGGAATTGACCTCATACGTTCTGATTTCTCGAGCCATCGCTTCTTCAGTTCTTCCCATTGCTCTGGTGTTCCATCAGTTTTACATGTAAACTTTGCATCGCATAGAACTTCATGTAAAGCAGCGCGGATTTCATGAGACTCTTCTGGGTTGAGACCTAGCTCGTTCTTTGCATCGACGAGAGTCATTCTGGTATCCTGGTTGCGTAAACGCTTGGTCACGTCAGTGCAAATAACGTCCAAGGCAAGCTGCTTTCTCTCGAGGTCCTCTTTGGAAAGCCAAAGGGCCTGTTGCAGGTGTGGACGTTCATGGATCAGGCGGTTCTTGACATAGTCCCATCTTCCTGGTCCAGCTTGGGTTTTCTTGAAGATGGACTCTTCTTGACAGATTCGAGCAAAACACCCGCGAGCCTCTGCGTAAATGGTCGCATCGAGGCCGAGGGCTTGTTTGGAATCGTTCAGGGTCATTTCAGATGGGAAACGGACAATGTGTTCTGATTCAGTGAGATGTTGACGATTCCTTCGACTTTGTCTTTTGCTAATCTTGCGTGGTTTGGGCGTTGTTGGGACAGAGGTGGGATCTTCTTGCGTTGGGTTCTCAGGAGCATATGTTGTTGGCTGGTTGAGATCTCTGGGTTCTTGGTCAGGCAGTGGAATGGTCACGTCTCTGTCGTCTAGTGAAGTATCATCCTCGAGATTCTCATCATCAGGCTCAGCATCACCACCAGATCTTGCTCGGTCACCATTTCGAACTCTAAGAAGCCATCGATTGCGGGCACGCACTCTCATGAGTTCACGGGAATTGATGTCAAAGCCATCCTCATCAGTCAGGATTCGTAGCATTTCATTTTGAGGGACATTTCTCTTCCAAAGCTCATGGATGCGATTCACAAGTCGATCATCCTTGTGTTTTAGTCTTTGTTTGGTAGGAAACTTCCATCGACTAAACTGAACTTGAAAAGCGCGTTTGCTGAAATAGGTCGTGTAAGTCAAGTCGAGAAGAGCGGTCACTTACACTGAGCGAGCACTTACCTCGGCGTGAACTGGTAAACATTCTTCATGTGCACCATGATATCCTCGAGGGACCGACGCTCATTGATATAGAGTTGGTAGCACACATCTTTGTGTGGTTCCCATTGATAGACCATGATTCAATACTCGAGACAGCATAGTCTCTCTTGTGTCTGCGTCTTTGGTCAGAACGGCTCAACTAAAACTTGGAGCTTGTGGAGAGACTTTTGCATTGCTGGTTAATCTGGGCTTCCGGAGTTTTTTTTGGCTGGTCAACCAAGGATTAGTCATGAGCTTACAGTGTGACTAGTGAAAGATGTACTGTGTATGCTAATAACTGCTTGATGATGAACTTGTAATAAGCGATATTATTGAGATATGATGATTGAATACGCAGAAGGTCCAAATACTGCATGAGTGGTCTCAGTGTATAATTCATGGATTAATATTTATTAGTAAGTGAAAACATTAACAGGATACAACACTCAAAGATAACTTTGAAACCCATTTGTACTTTAACGGCTATATTGGACCTTAGAATAAGCACCTTTAAAGTAAAGATGTGAGAACAGCCGAGGGTTAAGTTCGAATAGATAGCTTAGAATGGTCCCGTTCACATTTTTTAAGTGGAAATGATTCGAATAAGTGCTCTTTTTGGTTCTCGTCAAGACAACAGTAGGCGGAATTCAAGCCGCTTAACGATGACACTGACGATCTCGAACTAATAAGGCCAGTAACCTTTCATGTGATATTGGCATTCACATGCTCTCTCATTATCATTCCTCTGTCATTCATTTTCACAATCTTCTTTGCTTACTTGAGAAGCTAGGAATTATATACAACACCGGGGATAATCAAGCGACACTCACTCGACATTTCTGCGCTTATTTAGATTGCACCTCGGCTCAACCTTGTAAGTCAAGAGACGCTGTCACCATTCCGCGGCTCAACTGAAGAAGCCCAATCAATCCGTCGCACTCTAAATCAACATCGTCCTGACCTCAGCTTCACGCATTCATACCATACTTCGTTTATTACTCACAATACCAAGAATCGCAATGACATCGCCTTCGCTTCCCGACAGCTATGCAACCCTCAACCTCCCAGCCCTACAGCTCTTCCATCATCCCCCCTCTTCCAAAGAAGTGACACATGTCATAGTCATAAAGCTTCACCGTCCTGAAGCCCGTAATGCATTCACCGACACAATGGCGGCTTCGCTCTCCCATGCGCTCAACACACTCTCTGTTGATCCTCGCGTTCGCGCTATAGTTCTCACTTCGTCGGATCCCAAGAATCGCATGTACTGCGCTGGTATGGACTTCAATGAGGAGCATGCATTGGGCAAAGACGCTGCTGATCATCGCGACTCCGGCGGCATTGTCACTTTACCCATGTATCGTTGCAACAAGCCTGTCATCGTCGCCATCAATGGCTCTGCTGTTGGCGTGGGTATCACAATGACCCTCGGCGCCAACATCCGCGTCGTGAGCCGCGACGCCCAGATCGGCTTTGTGTTTGGTCGCCGTGGTTTCAGCATGGAGGCATGCAGCAGTTTCTTCCTTCCACGCCTCATCGGAACCAGCCGTGCACTTCACCTCACCACCACTGGCGCTGTCTACCCTGCCACCCACAAGCTCTTTGACGGTCTCTTCAGCGAGATTGTTGCACCTGAAGAGGTTCTTCCCACAGCGCTCAAGATCGCGGATGAGATAGCGGCCAATGTAAGTGGTGTTTCCGCGCGGGTAATGAAGGACATGATCTACAGGGGTGCCTCGTCGCCTGAGGAGGCGCATCTACTTGAGAGCAAGATATTTTGGGACTTGTTCACAGGTAAGGATGCGAAAGAGGGAATGAATAGCTTCTTGGAGAAGAGGAAGCCGGATTTTACGGGGACCATGGACAAGAACGCGCCCAAGATCTACCCTTGGTGGACGCCCGTTGATATTGCCAGGCCAAAGCTGTAGCGATTCACTGCTGGAAATGTGTTTATTGCTGTATATTATGATCACTTTGATATCTATGCCTCACAAATTGTACTCCCTCTGTTTTGGTGCAAACTCATCACCAAACTTCTACGAATACTGCTTCGTGATGCCCATAAATGCATTTCTCCTCATTCCTTAGTGAGACAAATATCCGCATTCATCTCCAGCAATAACGCTCTGTCTCATAACCCCAGATTAACGTCTCCATAGATAGGACTCGAGCAATAATTTAGCACTGAACCATCAAAAAGAGGTCATGAGATCCATGCCTTCAAGACCCTTGTCCAACTAAATCCTCCCCACACTTAGGATCTCCGTTAAGCCGACCCACTCTCTGCCAAAGACCGCAAACGAACGTCATGTGCAATTGATCAATGTCATGTGAAAGGGAAGCAGAGGAGGCAAAGCTGAGCCACTCTGATTCACACGTACGATGGATTCGTCTTCTTCTTGGCCCGACACTCGAGTCACAATAATTGGGGGCTGTGCCACTTCACAGGATGTTTGCCAAGAGAGGGAGGAGACGTAACGTTAACGTGAGTGAGGCAAATTGCCGGCCATGTCTGTTCATGTTTTGATCCGGTTCTATGGTAGAAGCGCCTAAGCCGTTCCATCCGATATGCCACAGCCGTACAAGCCGGGCTGGAAATGATACTCGAAAAAAACAAGAAACAATGCAACAAATCGTCCCAAATCAAAGAACAAAGTTCTTGAGTTCATCCCGCGTAGCTTGAGTCCCTTGATGCAACCATGCATGCCAATCGTAGAAGTAGAAGAAGAAAAAAACAAAGTGGTAAACCCCAACTCCTTGCCTATAAAATGTCAAAAGATAACGTTCCTCCTGGTCGTGAAAACTCGCTCGTTTCCATGCCACATTGCTCCAAAGGCCGTGAGTGCGTGTGCGTTATACGTGGGCGAATGGGAAGTGAGGGATATACTGCTTCCTGTAGGTGAAATTCAAGGTATCGTAGTGAAGGATATGGCTAGCTGTAAATTTGTGCTCGCCGAGTATCTGCCGAGGAAAGCATTCGTAGATTCATCGGCGAGGGGTATATGGTGATGAGCAGTATGCGTCAAAGGCGCTAGTCTGCTGTCGCGGCTGGTATTGCTGATAGGGAGTTCTGACAACGAACCCCTTCTTTGGGCCAGAGAATTTAGTCTTGAGTTTGGTCTTGGTCTCGCTGGTAAAATTCTCCTATCTTCGACCAAGCTTGAGCAGTCGCGTTCTCAACCACAGAACAAAAGCGGTCCAAGCACTGGTGGTTTTCCGCTTGGTGGTTTTGGTTCGGTGAGTCGATTGAAAGTGCACATCGTCAGCTCTAGCGCCAGGTGTCTGGCCTGTAGGCACAGTGTCGTAGCTGCGGGTACCAAAGTCGACCTTCTCGTTCTCGGTGGTCAAACCCAGACCCACGCCAGTGCCGGTAGTCTTGCGAGAGATCGAAGGCCGAATGTCAGTACTACTCGACACACGATCACACGAGATTCGAGATGTTCCAAAGCTGCCCTTGCGACCATTCTTGTTGAAGCGGTGGGCTTCGCGAGACTCTGCACGTTCCTGCTTGCGGATCTGCTCACGGGCGTACTTTTCCTCTTTGGCTCGTTCTTTTTCCTCAAACTTGCGGCGGGCCTCGCGGACGTTCTCCTGGCGGGTAACAGTGTCCACCTCGCTGCGTGAGCGGAGGCGGAAACCGCTCATGTCGAGAGAGCTCCGGAGTGGCGACATAGCGTTGGAAGATGTAGACGCAGCGATCATCTGGGGTGAAACAAAGGAACCAGAAGGTGGGCTGGTGCTTGACGCAGAGTCGAGAGCAGTGGTTGAGCCTGTGTTAAGGTGGAGGTCAGATCGGCTGCGAGTCACGATGCTATGGGGCTTTCGCGCAGATATTCCTGGGGCGGCGCGGCCGTTGGTAGTGATGCGCAGCGGTTGATTCACATCTGATAACGAGCTGGTGCGCTGACTAGCAAGAGAGGGACGGCGGGGCCGGGAACCAGAATGATAGGCACGAGTCGAAGTCTGAAGGCTCTGAGAGTCGATGTTGTCTTCGTTCTCAGTTATCGTGGGAGAATAATCGCGAGGTCCGGTGGTATTGTCCAGGGATGCGAGCGAGTTGGCGTAGGAGAGAGGTGGTGTTGAGGTGCGCGGCGTTTGCTGAAAAGGATGCACAAAGGAGCCGTTTCTGCCGCCGCTCGCAGAAGTCGCAATAGAAGCATGAGAAGTGCCACTGGTAGAGCGAGCATGCCCGTGCGAATATTTGTTTGAGCGAACACCTCCATTGCTCAGATCCGTGGCCGATATAGAGAAGCTGACATCGCGGGCGCGGGCGGCAGGTGTTGGCAGTGCTGATGCACCTGCCGTATAAGACGAGTCGTCGCCGTCCACATTATACGAGGAATAACCAAATTGACCCTGCTCGTCCCAGCCGCGATCCAAATCGAGAGAATTCTTTTCCGAGTGGGAGTGGTGCGATTGCAGTTTCTTGAGGATTGGCTTCACGGCAGGTCGACTGCGAGGTTTTGTTATTTTAGCATGCCCATGGCCGTGTTGATTACCATGCCCGAAGCCGTGACCGTGTAGGTGACCCGGTAACGAACTGCTGGTCTGCGCCATTGCCATTAAAAAGCAGGCAATAGTGTAGAGGAGAGGTTGAAGAAGAACCCGAAAGGGTTTCAGAGGGTGTCAAAGAGGTATACGAGGGGTTTTGTGTTGTTGGTGTTGGTGTTGTTGGGCGTCTTGTCGCCGTTGCACGGATACGGGCGCAGCGCAGGCGGAGGGTGAGGAGTCTGTCGCACGCCCAGCGTATCTCAGAGCATCATGAAAGAAGTTGACTTCTCTTTTCTTTCAGGTTGTACAATGAACAGACAAATCACCTCCAAACACACACGCACAAAGGGTTCTTCACAGAAGATACACTCTCTTCACTCTCTCAACGACCAGCGTATGCAAGTAAGTAAGTAAACAAGATAGGAAGAACTGACGAGCGACAACAACAGGGAAATGTCGCAAAGAAAGAGAAAAGACTCGGACAGGTCGGGTCGGGGAGGCCTGGCCTTAGAACTATCAGGGGTGTTCCCAGGTCCTAGAGAACCGAGAGTAGGTACTCCGTAGTGGGTGGGGTTACTGCTGTCAAGGAGGAGTCCGGGCCCGGCGGTAGCGGTAGCGGTAGCCTGTAAGTACTGACTCTCACTTCTGGAGTCGAGTCCCCAAGCCAAGGAATACCAGAGTTTAATGCGGCGACAAGGCCAAGACAAGAGTCGAGTTTTTGATTTGGAATGATACAAATGAAAGAAAGTCAAAAAGATGAGGGGAAGGAGGAAACAGGGAGGGTGAGACGGTAAAACCTCCTCTGTCTGTGTCTTTTCTTATTCTTCTGCCTGTGGCCGTGTAAGAGGCGGCAGATTACGACGGTGAAAGCGGCGGAGGCAGTGGAGGTCGACTTTGAGAATGGCGGTGCGGCCGGAGGAGGCAAATACCGGTCAAATACCGCTGTACTCTACCTAGCAATCACTATCACTCAGCACTAGATCAGCTCAGTGTATGGGAAGGATACCTACAGCCTGGTACTGTACCTACAGTAGGCTCTTCAATCAGAGACACTCTAACCTTTGGTGGTAGAAAAACTGGGTTTCGGTGGCAGCGAAGCCAGGTGATTGAACCAATGTCAGGACGTTCTAGGCCAGATTCAGCCTCATCAAGCGCATTGGCACGTGGGGTTTAGTGGAGAGGGTTCTTTCTTGTTGAGTCCTTTTCACTCCTCTCTTCTCTAGACTCTTCCTCTCCGTCCACAGGCTGTGACGCTGACCAGGGATTGGCCAGGGTATCTTGTTCCGTGGATATCGCCAAGCCAACGTCGGTCTGCGGTCTGCGAACCTGTGATGATGTGATCGAGTGCCGATGTCCCGTTACAGTGGTAGTCGCAGTAGTATTCGACTACAAGTTGTTGAGAGGCGGTAAGACAATACAAGAGATGTGATATGCGGGGGTTACAGAGGCCAAAGAGAGGTCGAGGCGCTCGGGTCGCAGATATTCACATCAATCAATCAATGTCTTGCAAGGCCACCTAGCCTACAGTAGAGTAGTGGCAGATAACGACACGGATAGATAGACGTGAGTGAGATTTGGGGGCGTTTGCGGGGGTGATGAATCCTTGGAAACTTAAGATGCAGCAGACCGTATCTGTCTCGATAGAGGGGAGTATCGGTCCAATAGGAAGAGTAGGGACAGATGATGATGCGCTCAAGTCTGAAGCACAGAATGTTGTGTACAGAAGAAAAGAAGACAAGATATGGAAGACCTCGAAAGAAATGCGGTTCCGAGGGACATGTCACTCACATGCGATTGTCCCCTCATGGACTCGAGAATTACCTACAATGTACCCCGTAATATCAAACTCATGACGCTTCTGATCAGACGAAATTGGGCGATTAATTACTCTGTCAGGAAGCGAGCAGCCAAGACAGAGCGAAATGAAGTTCCCAAGGTTCAACCAACCTATTGGTTCGCCAATAGTCTCGCCAGCTTTGCAAGGATAAAACTGTTAGGTATGTAATCTGATTCTGGGCACACGCAACTCTGATATTGTGATTCTTGGTGTGTGTCGTGATTTCGCTCTCCTCGAGTCATCCACTAACAATTACACTCACGTTTTATCGGCCCTTCTCTAGTGCATCCATTTGCAATAGCCAAGGAAACAACATGGCCTACAACTGTTTTTCAGCCTTGTTTCTCTGTCATGTTGTATGGGTAGATCCGTCACAAACTGTTCCCCCTCGTTGCATCATGTACTGTTTCATCCGTGTTGATCCCCCGGGACATGAGCATCATCATCCCGTTTCATATCCGGATCTACCAGCAACGCTTCTGTTTGCGGGGGGTTGTCTCGGGTCCTGTAACGCCGTGAGACCAACCGGCTAAAGTTCACGACTATAGGTTGGTTGGTTCTCTCTATTCACTGATGCCTGGACAGTTTCGTTTTAAGCAT